AGAAGACCGGTGGAGGCGGCCATAATTCTGGAGGCGTTTTGAGCTCGAGTTTGAGTCGCTAAACAGGACTCGAACCGAACGTGTGACCCCACCAATGGATTCCTCGTAAGGGGAGCAACCCGTTGGTGGGCTCACCCGTTCCGTTCGAGTCCCATTTAGCGACTCTGGAGCTCAAAACGCATCTAGAGTTTTGGCCGCCTTCACCGGTCTGCTGGCCACTGGCGCTGCCCTGCCCACTCGGTGCAGGCACGGCAGGCACCGGGGCTGAGGGGGACCAGCTGACTGATTCCGAGAGTCGTTCTCGTCGCGCTGTCTCTCTCGCACTCATGGGACGTCCCTTGTAGGCGCGAGAGAGACAGCGCGACGAGAACGACTCTCGGAATGCAGCGTGCATGATCGTAACACATGGGGGCGAACGGCGAGCGCGTTTCGACACGCGGCGCGCTTAGCCGAGCGATTCCGCGGGACCTCTCTCTGTCTCTGTCGCACTCGTGGGGTGTGCTGCGGGGCCCGCAGGGGTGCGACAAGGACAGAGCGACCAAGTGCTTCTTCTAGTGTAGCGCCGCTCGCCGGTCCGTTGAGGCCGGCGGCCCAAGGCCTGTCGACCGGCGCTGCCGCGTTCGAATGAGGAGGTTCGCTCACAACGTCGTTGCGTATCCAAACGGCTCGCCTTTGCAGACCGATTCCGAGAGTCCTTTTCGTCGCTCTGCCTCCCTCGCGCCTATTCGGGACGCCCCGCGAGTGCGAGAGAGACAGGGCGACGAGAAAACGACCCTCGGAATCGGTCGTCTGCTGCTGCAATTGCCAGTCAAAGCATTTTCTCTAATGATAATGCGAAAGTGCAGCACCTCTCCGTCAGTGCCTCGGCCGCATGGCCCGCCGCGGACATATCTCTCCTACACAAAAAAAACGGAAAAAACAGTTGAGAATCCGAAAAAAAAGAAAGCCGAAGGCGTTTTCGCTTCCCGCCTCTTCCACGGCATGGTGTTGACTCGGCGCGTGGATGCTTCGGGGGAGGGATTCATTGCAACGGAAAGGTTTCGCAGCGAGGAAAAAAAGAAACACCAAAATAGATTCCATTGCTATTCCCAAGTATAGTCCGTTCGCACCGTGACTCGGCGGTGCTCAGTGGGCCAGACGACCGGTGCCGGCGGCCAAAACTCTTCACGCGTTTTGAGCTCCACCGTCACTAAACGGGGCTCGAACCGAACGTGTGACTCCACCAATGGATTCCTCGTTCGGAGAGCAATCCATTGATGGGGTCACACGTTCGGCTCGAGTCCCATTTAGCGCCTCTGGAACTCCAAAACCATCCGGGATTTCGACCGCCTCCACCGGTCTCCTGGCCCACTGTGCGGTGCAGTAACAAACAAAGCCCATGGCAGTGTCGCGGTTCCCATGCACTTTCGGGACTCCGCTTCGCGCCGCTTCGGCCCACCTCAACTTCCGTGTGCTTGGCGGGGTCTGCGGAGTGTCGCTCTGTCTCTCTCGCGCCCCCACGGAACGCCCCGTGAGTGCGAGCGAGACAGAGCGACGACGCCACTGGACGCAAACGTGTAAACGAGGGCCAGGCCACTTGGTGGGTGCGCGTGGACGCGTGAGAAGACACTACACTGCGATGTGCACGCCGTGCCCTGCCCGCACTCCCACCGCACTGTCACACGTCTGTCCGTCCGTCCGTCCGTCCGTCTGTCTGCCCGTCCGGTTTGCTTGCGCCCAGCTGGGCGACGCCGCCTCGAAATTATTCAACCGGTTATTCAACTTCGGCGGCATTCGCGCTGCGCTTCGCGCCGCGTCCACTGCAGACTGAGAGTCGTCTTCGTCGCTCTGTCTCTCTCGCACCCGTACGGGATGTCCCGTGAGTGCGAGAGAGACAGAGCGACGAAAGCGACTCTCAGTCTGCTGCAGCCAATGGCGGCAGCGCCCGCTAGCCTCCAGCCGGGCCGCGACTGCCGCGACGTCTCGCATGTTGACATAATTGCGGGAGGAAAGAAAAAAGTAAAGCGAATACTGGAGCGGCGGTCCGTCCGCGAGGTGGCGCTAGTGACGCAAAGGGCGCCTCTGCCGTGCCTTAATTTGCCTTCGTTATTAACGCTGTTAATGGTGGAGTGGTTCCGGCCGGCCGGGCCGAAAGGAGGCTATCATGCACTTCGTCTCCGGATCGATTGATTCATTTGCAAACCGTCTCATTATTTTACGTCCCTGTTGCTGCCGCTTTGGACCAAGGACGAAATGCGCAGCATATTCATTGAAATCCGAATCTCACGGAACCTTTTGTAGGAGGCAAGGTACAGCGGTGGTCCAGATTGTCTAATGGGTACACACTTAAAAATGCATGCTTTGCAAACACAAACGTTAAAACACAGACTTGGTCAAGCACTAAGTGACAAATGCAGACGTACTTGGCAAGTGCACACTTACATCTGCATGCATTTATCAAGTATGCATTTGTAACAGTGTACTAGCCAGTAAGGTATGTAGTGCACTATTTTTCTACCAGTGTTGCAGAATCAAACGAAAGTTATTCAGAAGTAAGTTACCACGACACTGTCATTCCCGTGCTTGCTGCCCCCGCTTTACGGGACCCGCCGCGAACGCAGCGTCACACTCAACGGCGCGCTTACCGGCTGCTGGCTTGCCCGGGCTTGCCGGAGCAGAGTGAGCGAAAACGAAAACAAACCCGATCCCGCAAACTGTAACAAGGTCAGTGCCGCTCGGAACGCACCAGCAGGCTGATTCCGAACACTCGTCGCTCTGTCTCTCTCGCACTCACAGGGCGCCCCGCACAGGTGCGAGAGAGACAGAGCGACGAATACTTACTCTCGGAATCAGTCTGCTGGCATTCGAGCAGCGGCTGTGCTCGCTCAGGTTGGCATTAGCACGCCGCCCCACTACTCGGCCACTCGGCCACGCCTGCTGGCTGGGTCCGAACAGTGCGTCAGCTCTCTCTCTCTCTCTCTCTCTCTCTCTCTCCACACATCCCTACGAAGCGCCACTTGAGTGCGAGAGAGAGCGACGAAGCCCTGTTCAGCCAGCAGGCTCGCCCGCCGGCCGCGCGCTGCTGTGGGCTGCAGGGTTGAAATGGAGACCGCAGGGGTGTGATCAAATCAACGCGATAGACAGATAGATACTCTAGACTGTCAGTGCGTTGCGTGTACACACGCACGAACGAAGGAATGCAGCGCACAACAATGCTTCATTGTTACCAGTGGACACCAGTCAGTCACTGCATCCCAGCCAGCCCACTGTGGATGGGCCAGAAGACCGGTGGAGGTGGCCAAAATTTTAGACAACTTTAGACGCGTTTTGAACTCCAGCGTCGCTAAATAGGGCTCGAACCGAACGTGTGACCCCACCAATAGATTCCTCGTTCGGATTGGTTCGGAGAGCAGTCCATTGGTGGGGTCAATTCGAGTCCTATTCGGCGACTCGGGAGCTCAAAACGCGTCTGGAGGCCCGACTGGAAGGTCCTCGATGTTGCTCGGCCTCGGTTGGCCTCGGTTCACAGAGGTTGTCGGCTAGCCCGGACTAGCCGACGTGGAGAAGGTTCTAGAATTGAACCGGCTGGACCTGCCCCTGGATGTCCCCCGAAAGGGGAAGAAATAAAAACAGTGGAGGTTGATGGCCCTGGACGAGGCTAGGCGTTGCTGCACTGTGAACCGGCCGGGAAAAAAGTGAAGTGCCTTCGAAACGTAATCACGGCCATCTTCCTAGCCGAACCAACTCGCCGCGACTGCAGACTGATTCCGAGGGTCGTTTTCGTCGCTCCGTCTCTCTCGCACCCTGTTAAGGCGCGCCCCGTGAGTGCGAGGGAGACAGAGCGACGACTCTCGGAATCAGTCTGCTGGCTGACTGGTTTCACGTTCTCATTGACAGCCGCATCGGAGTGACGGAGTGGATGCGGTTCGTCTCGGTCGACCCCAGCGTTCAGACAGGGCAGTGTGTGAGTGCGAGAGAGAGAGAGAGAGAGAGAGAGAGAGAGAGAGAGAGAGAGAGAGAGAGAGAGAGAGAGAGAGAGAGACGAGAGACAGACAGACAGACAGACAGACAGACAGACAGACAGACAGACAGACAGACAGACAGACAGCCTTTAAGAGAGCGCAGTGTAGCTTATTGCCTACCTTTCAGGCGGCTGCCATGCCATCAATGTGCCACGGGAGGGCAAAAAACCGAGGGGGTATGCACTCGCGTAATAGCCGGGTCGGGTCACTCCAGGTCACTCTGTCTGTCAGAGCACGTGCAATAGTCCGCGTAAAAGTAGCGCAATAGCCAAAATTATCCCATTTTTACCTTTGGGGGGGGGCGGACTTTGGGGTGTTTTTAGCTCAATCCGATTGAGGCGTGATAGAGCAATAGCGTAATTGTTGGGTCAAGAGTTCATACACCCTCGCAAAAAAAAAACCTTTGCCCAGTTGCATTTGCGCCTTGCCTCTGTGAGAGAGCGAATGTGTGTGTGTGTGAGAGAGAGAGGGGGGGGGAAGAATGGTACATGCAACGAATTAGATAAGAACGAGGAAAGGCTAAAAGCTGGGCGCCGAAAACGGAGAGGGGTCTCTCCCGCGGAAGGAAGGCAGGCGTGCGACGCGGGCGGCGCGGGCGGCGCGGACGCCGAGGCGGACGCCTGTCCCCCAAAGAAGGCCCGCATCCAGCACACTGATGATTCCGAGAGTCGTTTTCGTCACTGTCTCTCTCGCGCCCATTCGGGGACGGGTGGGTGCGAGAGAGACAGAGCGACGAGAGCGACTTTCGGGATCAGGCTGCAGCACGACGACGCTCGCTCATCCGCCGCCGTCTACCGACTTACGGTGCACCAGTCGCGTGGCGGGTGGCGCGCCGCGCCGGTGGCGGACCGACTGCCCGGCGTGACCATGAACCAAGCCGGCCGTTGCTTAACACGTCGCTGGAGTGGCGCGGCGTGGCGCGGCGTGGCGTGGTGGGGGCCGGCACAGGTGGGGCGGCGCCGTTTTCGGTGCAGTCTGCACTCGGCCGGTCAGGGCACCGCCAGGGCACTGCCCGCACCGCACCACTCCAGCGGCCCCACTGCTCCAGTGCTCCAGCCCAGTGCTGCAGACTCCAGTGGCCCCAGACTCCAGTGCTCTAGATTCTAGTGATTTAGACTCCAGTGCTTCTGACTCGAGTTCACCAGACTCCAGTGCTCGAGACTCCAGTTCTCCAGACTCCAGCAGCGTACTCGGTGTTGCAGAGAATGTGAACGCTGCCGCCATGGCCGCCGGAGGAAGCCGAGCCGCCGTCGCCGCCCTGGCCGCCGCCCTGCTGACCCTCGTCACCGGTGAGTCCAGGCAAACTTGGCGCACAGTGGGCCACCTCCCTATCCCTTTTGCATTTGCACATGACCCTAAGGCCAACCACTGCGCTCTGCTCCAGGCATCGCGGGGCAGGACGCCTACCAGTTCCGGGACTTCCCCAACCCGGTGCCCTACGCGCCCTACTCGCCCCTGGAGCCGGTGCACTCCAGACCCTTCGCCCGGGACGTGCAGCACCAGTCGTTCCAGCAGCAGGGCTTCCCGCAGGGCTTCCAGTCGCAGGGCTTCTCGCAGGGATTCCAGTCGCAGCCCTTCCAGAACAAGTTCCAGCAGCCCCAGTTCCAGTCTAGCGCCTCCTTCAATGCCAGCAACCCGCTCGCCCTCGGCCCGTTCGATGTAAGTTCGGAAACTGGAAAAAAAGACAATAACAAAAAACCAACAACTTGATAATCCTCGGACACTGTGATCAACATTTTGACCCTCACTTGCTGGACAATTTCAAGGCCAATTTCACTGACAACGCTGGCATCAAACCAGTTGATGACAATGTTGCCACGCCCATACAATACATATACAAACCTCGGTGAAAATGTCACCAATTTCTGATAAAATTGCCTTGAATTGATAGTGATGAAGGAATGTCATCCATCATACCATAATGCGAGAGCAAATCTTTACAGTGTTAAGATTTTGTTTCTTTTTAAATAAAAATTAACACTTTTTTCCTTTTTGCAGCAGGGCAAGTCGTTCCTGCGTCCGGGACTCGGCGCGGGAGGGGCGAACCAGGCGGACTTCCCCCAGTTCTTCCAGGACCCACAGTTCGAGCAGCTCTTCCACCAGGAGCTGAACCACCAGATCCAGCTGGAGCAGCAGCGCCTGCAGGACCAGCCGTATCACCATCAACTACAAAAACAACAACAGCAACAACAACAGCAGCAGCAACAACAACAACAGCTGGCGCGGCCGCAGCCGAGCTTCCAGATCCAGCAGTCGGTGCAGGTGGAGCGGCCGCAGCTGCAGGAGCTGCACGAGCTGCACAGCCTGCTGGAGCAGCAGCTGCAGCTGCACGAGGTGCGCCAGAAGGAGGAGCAGCAGCAGCGGCAGCAGCAGCACATGCTGCAGCAGATGATCCGCCAGCAGCAGCAACAGCAGCAGCTGCAGCAGCAGCAGCTCAACCTGGTGGACTCGCACGAGCAGTTCATGTCGCAGAAGATCAAGCCGCAGCCGTCGCCCAGTCCGCCGCGCCGGCCGCAGGTGCAGCTCAAGCAGCAGCAGCAGCAGCAGACGCAGCTGAAGCAGGCCAAGCCGTCCACGACCACCACGCCCAGGGCGCCGCTGGAAGTCATCGACCTGGACCAGCTGCTGCCCTTCCTGCAGAAGCAGCAGGCCGACAAGGACCGGCCGCAGGACGGGCGGCTGCAGCAGCAGCGGCAGCGGCAGCAGCAGCGCCAGCAGGAGACGCTGCGCCAGCAGGAGGAGAGCCGCGCGCAGGAGCTGCGGCTGCGGGAGCGGCAGCGGCAGCAGCGGCAGCAAGTGCAGCAGCAGCAGCGGCAGGTGAGTGGGGACCCGGGTTCGAGTCAGTTGGGGAGAAGAGTTCAGGGTACAGTGTTAGAAAAGTACAGCGGGATAGAAAAGTACAGGGTAAAAATAGAGGAGGGTAAGAAAAGTGCAGGGTTAATGTGCACTGTTATTCGTACTCAAACTGAAAATATGAGTCTGGAACTTCTGTCAAATGAATGTGGAGATGTAGGCAGTAGGCCGGGGGTGTGTTCTTTTCTTGCCCTGGTACTTCTCTTCCCCAACTTACACCTACCGAAGCGTTACCTCTCTTGCCCAGGTCCGTTCATTTGTCCATTTGTTCTTAAGGAGCAAGAGCGCCGTCAGCGCGCGCAGAACCAGCAGCGGCCCCAGAGGCAGCAGCCCGCCCCCGTCAACAACATCGCCGCCAACAACAACAAGGCCAACAAGACGGAGAAGCCGGTGACTTCGGTGCGGGACCTGTTCAACACCACGTCCTGCATCGAGCCGCCGCTCACCTGCCCGCACCCGCGCATCCACTTCTACCTGTACACCAGGTACGCAACGCAGCGCCTCTGTCTCTCTCGCACTCACGGGCCGCTCCGGAGGCGTGCGAGAGAGACAGAGCGACGCTGCCCGGAATCAGCCCGCCCGGTTGGCGGTATGGTTTCATGTTTCCGGGGTCGGCTGCCCCGCTGCCCACTATGACCGCCACCGCGGCGGGACCACCACACTGTGGGCCGGGACCTGTTTGGGAGGACGCAACGCGTTACAGCTCCACAGCCCTCGGAAAGGCCTCGAATCTCATGGCGGTACCAATGGGCTGCTCTGCGAACGAGGAATCCATTGACACCCTCATGTGTTCGCATGGGTTGCAAGGACGAGGAGCCCGAGGACGTGGCGTTCGGAGTCATGTCCGCCTCTGCACAGTGGACTAGAAGACCGGTGGAGGCGGCCAAAACTCTAGACGCGTTTTGAGCTCCAGAGTCGCTGAATGGGACTCGAACCGAACGTGTGACCCCACGAAATGGATTCCTCGTTCGAAGAGCAATCCATTCGTGGGGTCATTCGCTCGGTTCGAGTCCTGTTTAGCGACTCTTGAGCTAAAAACGCGTCTAGAGTTTTGGGCGACCCCACCGCTCCTCTGGCCCACTGTGTCATGTCCGCCTCAGCGGGTCCCGGAGTCATGTCCGCCGCTTGCTGCGCGACAGATGCGGCACGCGTAATAACCGAGCACGCCGAGCGCGGGGCACGGGGGCGTCGCTCAGGTTGTGTTGTTATGCCACGGGAGGGACGAATCCGTCGAAATGATATTCAAATGAAGGTTGCGGCAGCGTGGTCCGCCAGTCCGTCCGCGGCGTCCTGCCTCTGCAAGCTCTGCTCGGCGGCGCCACCGCGGCATGCGGGGTCAGCCTTCAGCGCCACTTTCTAAAGCTCACCGTACTGTCCGTCGCACAGTGGGCCGGAAGACCGGCGCAGCGGCCAAAACTCTAGACGCGTTTTGAGCTCCAGAGTCGCTAAACAGGGCTCGACCCGAACGTGTGACCCCACCAGTGGATTTCTCGATCGGAGAGCAACGCATTGGTAGGGTCACACGGTCGGTTCGAGCCCTGTGGAGCCACTCTAGAGCTCAAAACGCGTATGGAGTTTTGAGCCGGCCTCCGAACATTTTCGAGAAATCTAGAAAGAAATCCTACGGAAGAAAGCTTGCGTGTGAAGCTGTTTATTTACTCGTCCGTAAATGTCTAGTGCGTTGTCCAACCTGTCTGTCCGTCCGTCTGTCTGTCTCTCTGTCTGTCGTTAAGTTGGTACTCCCTTTCACGCGACGCTAATCACCGTGTTCCTGTCCGCGAGCCGCCAAATGAAAAAGAGAGCATAGAGGGAAAAGAAGAGGATGACGAGTCGGTTGCGCAACGTCGAGTCGCCCTGCCATGCGCGGAGGTGGCGGCGCTGCCTTCACTGCCTTGGCCGCATCCCATTCCGAGAGTCTCGCTCTGTCTCTCTCGCACTCGTGAGGCGTGCCGTCTGGGTGCGAGAGAGATAGAGCGACGAGAACGACTCTCGGAATCGGCGCGGCCGTCCGGGAGACAGACGAGATGGCCCTCTTTTCCGCGGCGGCCATCCCATTCCGCCACCTCTGTTTACGGCCGCCCTCCCCGCACGGCTCTGTCTCTCTCGCACCCACGCGGGACCGCTCGGGACGCCCCGTGAGTGCGAGAGAGACAGAGTCCGACTTCCGACACAATGCCGCCAACAGCTTTCTTCCCGTCGCGTTCATCTCGCCGCGCTAATCCAAGTGCGGTCTGGGACGAGGCTGCTCGACTTCCCGAACTCGTTTTCCTACACTAGCAAGTGCACGCACTGGGGAAAAAAAGGGTTACGTCGATTCGATTAAAACTGCGTAGAGTTTAGTTCCTTTACTACACCTGAGTAATGGAAAAAGTCACAGCATGCTACCATCTTAATCAAAATTATGTACTTCGAAGAGATAATCAACTCTTTTCGCTGTGTGCTCGGCAGACTGATTCCGAGAGTCGTTTTCGGTCGTTTTCGTCGCCCTGTCTCTCTCGCACTCATGAGGCGTACCTTAAAGGTGCGAAAGAGACAGAGCGACGAAAACGACTCTCGGAATCAGACCGCTAGCTCGACGACGGCGGTGACAGCGATTTCAGTATGCTTTGCGCGATGTCGGAGTTGCCGCTGTGTCGACCGCCGCCAGCGCCGCCAGTTGACGACTCGTTTCCCGCCAAAACCCTGTCCTCCCATTGGCTGGCGTCCAGTGGTGCCAACTTCTGCGTTGGCGTTGCGTGCGCCTCGCGCTTTGAAAGGCCGCCACGCCGGCATGGAAGTCGAGCCTTCAACTCAAAGCCTTGGATCTCAAATCTTACACATTAGCTCTTAATTACCTTTGCTTTTCAGACACGAATCCTTTAAACTTCAAGTCTTGAACTTGAAACTTTACACCTGACAAATTTGGATCGTTCACTCCTTGAAATCTAAAACTCTCCACCTGAAACCTTGTCGCTTTATTGAACCTTAACCCCTGTCTGTCCAGGACGACGCAGGAGCAGGGCGACAGGGTGGACGTGACGAGGCCCGAGTCGCTGCTCAGCACGCCGTTCAACCCCAAGCACCCCATCAAGGTGCTGATCCACGGGTTCCAGGGCGGCCGCCAGTACTCGCCGTCCACCGACCTCCGGAAAGGTGAGCAACGCGTTGTCGCCGATCTGCGCCAGCGGCCAAAACTCTCGACGCGTTTTGCGCTCCAGAGTCGCTAAACAGGACTCGAAACAAATGTGTGACCCCACCAATGGATTCCTCGTTCGGAGAGCTATCCATTGGTGGTGTCACACGTTTGGTTCGAGTCCTGTTTAACGACACTGGAGCCCAAAACGCGTCTAGAAATTCGGCCGCCTCACCGGTCTTCTGGCCCACTGTGCGTCGTCGGCGAGGCGGCCTTTGGCGGAGAAGGCCCGTCGGCCACCTCGGGACCACCTTGACCTACTCACGGTGCCGTCGAAGCTCCCCTCCCCCTCCACCCACTGCCGTGGCACGCCGGCGCGCGTGTCCAGCCGAATCCCGGATCCGCCATCCGCCCCTCCCGCATGCAGGCCGTGCCCTGCCCCTCCCGACGTCCTGGACGCCGTCCTGGACGAAGTCTTGCCCAGGCAGCGTGACCATTCCTGATTTTGGGAATCCGGATTGCGTAAATAGCGAGAGTGTGATGCACACATGCGGGCGGCGGCTTGCATAGGGACAGTCGAGGACAATAGGCCACACAGCTGCTTACGCTTTGGTCATAAACATAACATGCAAAAAAAAACCTTACAGTGATTCAACGCGAAGCTCACCTTTGCCTCTCCTTGATTGCAGCTTACTTCATCCGCGGCGACTACAACATCTTCGTGGTGGACTACAACTCGCTGGTGAGGCTGCCCTGCCTGTCGCAGATCCAGTGGTCGCCGTCGTTCCTGGCGCTGTGCGTCTCGCAGCTCGTCAACTACGTGGGCACCACCACCAAGGACCTGGTGGCGCCCGACCGCTTCCACCTGATCGGCTACTCGATCGGCGCGCACATCGCCGGCCTCGTGGCCAACTACATCGACCACGACAAGGGCAAGCTGGGCCGCATCACGGGCCTGGACCCCACCATCATCTTCTACCAGGGCTCCAACCGGTCGCACGACCTGGACCCCTCGGACGCGCACTTCATCGACGTGATCCACACGGGCGCCGGCATCCTGGGCCAGCGCGGCCCCAACGGCCACGTCGACTACTACGTCAACGGCGGCACCACGCAGCCCGGCTGCCAGAGCGACTCCCTCATCAGTGAGTACAGTGCAGTGGTCACAGTAGGTCAAAGTGGGTGGCAGTGGGTGAGAGTGGGTCGCCTGCCCCTGGAGTGCAACACCACGTTCACGCGGTCCTCCTCCGCCCGCAGAGACGCTGTCCTGCGACCACACCAAGGTGTCCCCGTACTACGTCGAGTCCATCGTGACGCCGGTGGGCTTCTGGGCGCTGCCGTGCCCCAACCTGTTCATGTACCTGCTGGGCTTCTGCCAGCCCAAGGACGAGGACTACATCATCATGGGCGAGGACGCCCCTCACACGTGAGTGGAACGACCCCAACCGCCGAGCCGCCCGGCGGGTAGGCAGCCCATCCGGCAGCGTAGAGAGTGAAAGTGCAGCAAGGGATGCCTACCCACCAGGTGCTCGCCGCCGGCCGCACACAGCGGGCCAGAAGACCGGTGAGGCGGCCGAATTTCTAGACGCGTTTTGGGCTCCAGTGTCGTTAAACAGGACTCGAACCAAACGTGTGACCCCACCAATGGACTCCTCGTTCGGTTCGAGTCCCGATTTAGTGACTCTGGAGCTCAAAACGCGTCTGGGATTTTGAGCACCTCCACGGGTCCTCTGGCTCACTGTGAGCATCTTGTGATAAGCCTAACCTAACCTAGCCTTACCGCTGTTCCAGGGCGAGGGGCATCTACTACCTGTCCACCAACGCCAACAAGCCCTTCGCCAAGGGCTTCCCCGGGAAGCGAATGCCCATCAAGTTCCCCAAGTGGAGACCCAACTGAATGAAGCCCTTATGACCAGTGGCCACCAACTTCATCATTACAATTTTACCTGTGATCAAAAAAGCGATGCCAAAGCCGAAGGGCGAACACAAGGGTGCCTCAACTCGTGTTGTGGTGTGAGTGTGTGTGTGAGTGAGTGTGTGTGTGTGCGTCGCTTCTTGCCAATCAGTGCCCCAGGCGCTAGAGGACTTTTCACAAATTATTTATTCCCACTTTTTGAATCACGTTGAAACTATTATCGTGTAAGCCACTACCGTTAGCCTAAGTGAGATTGTGTTTAGATTTTAGAGTAGTTCAGTGCCTTTGATTATCTTACATGTATGCGAAGCTCAAGATGCTGCTCGAAATACTTTAATTATACTTAATGTTCGTACTCGTCTCAGGTGCTTAATATTTCTGACAACTGTCCATATTTATTAAGGCAGCTTCGTGCGGCGCCCGTAGTGTGGTTTTTAATAAGTTAATTAATTGTGTTTCAATAATGTGATAGTGATGAGGGCTGGCACCCTTTGTTGCCACAGTTTTGTAAATAAATACTGCCATGAAGGAAAGTGGCGGAAATCATTCAACTTCCGAAAAATAACACCAGGGTTACAATTGGAAAATTATGTTTTATTATTTTATAATGAAAAAGATGAAGAAATCGTATGGTAGGTATGTTGATGCGCTTAAGATTAAGTGGAAATCAAGTAGTTTGATGCATCCAGCTTGTATCACAATAATGCTATCACTCTAATCATTACAGCTAACGAATTGCATTCAAACAATGAACATTACTTTTTTTATGAGAATGAAAATAAGTTAGGTCTCCTAAAAACTACGACAAAAACAGTATCAGGTCTGCGTTTGAGGTGGCGTCATCCTCGAAACGTTCCACTCGGCCTCGTCTTTTCATTTTGAATACAAGAGATACACTTAAGGCCGGTGTTTACTTTGAGCAAACGGCCGGTCGCCTTCCGTCAAGACTAGAAGCAGCAGACAAAAAAAAAAGAAAAACGTCGCTCTACTGGAGGCGTTAATTTGAGGCGTCAGTGCTGCCAAAATTCGCAAGGTTAACGCCGAAACGGGAATCCAGGCGGTAAATTATTCGCCTCCGGCCGGTTGGCCCGCCATGGTCACTTCACAACGCTTCACAAGGCCGGCGGCGCAGGCTGGCCGATGCCAACTCAAAAACTTAAAATTTAAACAGTCTGGTTTGGCGGAGGTTGGTTGGCACGTCTACTCGATCTTGGCCAGCTCGCGGTCCTCCTGGAGCATCTCCTTGTCGTCCCAGCCCCACACGGGGTGGGTGCCGTCGCCGGTGCGCAGGGTCCTGGTCTTGACCATGTCCTCGTTGACGGACTTGAGGTCGTAGGCCTGCCCGATCTTGGCCATGAAGTCGATGAAGGCGGTGGTGAAGTTGGTGGAGTACTTGCCGAGCTCGGCGGTCTTGTAGTCCCAGGGGAAGACGTGGTGGTAGTTGTGGTATCCCTCACCCAGGGCGCCGATGGAGACCAGCACGTTCTCGCGGGCGGCGATGGAACTGCAAAAGTCAGAGAATAATGGTTAAAAACTTGCTTCGGAAAACAAGAGCAGTTGCACAGTGGGCCAGAAGACCGGTGGAGGCGGCTGAAACTGTAGACGTGCTTTGAGCTCCAGAGTCGCTAAATGGGAGTCGGACCGATCGTGTGACCCCTCCAATGGATCCCACGTTCCGAGGGCAATCCATTCGGTTCGAGCCCCATTTAGCGACTCTGGAGCTCAAAGCGCGTCTAGAGTTCTGGCCGCCTCCGCCGGTCTTCTGGCCCACTGTGAGTTGGTGTGTGAAGTACTGACCCGTCGTAGGGGCGGCCGCCGGCCCAGTGGGCCAGGGAGTTGACGAGCCAGGTGCCGTGCAGGGACAGGGTGTAGCGCAGCATGGCGGCCACGAAGAAGGCGTTCCAGTAGGACTCGCCCCAGGCCACGGCGGGCACGATGGTGGGCATGGCGAAGCACAGGGTCAGCACCAGGGGGCCGTAGTACCTGCACAGAGAAGCACCTTAGTGTCGAGACCGATACACAGTAGGCCAGAAGGCCGGTGGAGGCGGCCAAGATTCTCGACGAGTTTTGAGGTCCGGAGTCTCTGAGTCCTATTTTGCGACTCTGGAGCTCAAAACGCGTCAATAAGTTTGGCCGCCTCTGTCGCACTGTCCGCCAGGTGCAGTGTGCACTGTATTAGCAGCGTCACAACTCACTTCTTCTGGAAGGCGACGCAGGGGTCGGCCTCGATGTCGCTCAGGTCGACGGTCTTGCCGATGCGGGTGACGTCGGGGTGCTTCTTGCACAGCAGCCAGCCGACGTGGGCGAAGAAGAAGCCGCGGGCCGCGTTCACGGGGTCGGCGTCGGTCTCGGTGAACTTGTGGTGCACGCGGTGGTCGCGGGTCCACTCCCAGATGGAGTTCTGGAAGGCGATGGTGTTGAAGAAGGTGAGGAGCATCCTGAGCGGCAGCCTGGCCTTGTAGGCCTTGTGGGACCAGAGCCGGTGCACGCCGGCGGACACGCCCAGGGTGCCGACCACGTACAGGAGCACGGCTGCGAAGAAGAAGAAGAGGCGGCTTTAGCGTTAGCTGGGAGTCGAGAGGCACGGCGAGCCGCACAGTTGGCCAGAAGACCGGCGGAGGCGGCCAAAACTCCAGACGCGTTTTGAGCAACAGAGTCGCTAAACGGGACTTGAACCGATCGTCTGACCCCACCGATGGATAGCCCTCCGAATGAGGAAGCCAATGGTGGGGTCACACGCTCGGTTCTTCGGTTCGAGTCCTGTTTAGCGACTCTGGAGCTCGAAACGCGTTTTGGCCGCATGCGGCCGACTGCGCGCCGGGAGGCAGGCCACCCTTCCGGCCCTTGATCGAGAGCGCGACTCCGCGACTCACCCCAGGCGGTGGTCAGCAGCTTGGCGGAGGAGAAGACGAGGGTCAGCCCGTACAGCGCCATCACGTGCATCACGGTGAACCAGTACACGTTGGACCAGTAGATGGGCTGCGCCTCGCTCAGCTTCTCCTTCTTGACCGTCCTGGTCTTCTCGGACTTCTCGATGACCTGCACGTAGTCGGGGGTGTCCTCGGTCTCGAACAGGACCCCGCTGCGGTAGTTGGTGACGTCGGCGACGTTGGGGGCCATCTGGAGGAGCAGAGGGCAAGGCCAAGGTCAGTGGCGGTCGAGGCGGTCCGCGGGTCTCAAGGTCAAGGTCGTTCTGCGAGTACGCGCCGCGGGCGGTGTTCGGCGTGGCGGGGCGGGGCGTGGCGTGGCGGGGCGGGGCGTGGCGTGGCGGGGCGTGGCGGGCGGGGCGTGGCGTGGCGGGGCGCGGCGTGGCGGGGCGTGGCGGACTCCCTTTCGCCGGTCCTGTCACATCCATGCTCCTGGCCGCGTGGTCCACGGCGCGAGGGAGAGGGGGAGGGAGGGGGGCACATCACGCCACTCTCCGCGAGCTACGCGCGACCGCGGCGCCCTCGCCCCATTGGCTGTCGCGGCTAGTGTGTCGACCCGAGCCGTCGCGCCGCAGATTCCTTCCCCCTCCCCCTCCCCTGCCGTCTAGCCGTCCGCACGATTAGAAAGAGACAGCGCGAGCCGACGGGGTGGCGGCCACGCGGGCGCGGCGCGGCGAGCAGGTCGGGCCGGCCCACAGTGGGCCACGAACGGTTTAGGCGGACATAATTCTCCCAGGCCATACGAATCGTTATTTTGGCGTGTAACTTGGTAGTCGGGGGTTTTGAGGGGCGGGGAATCCATTTTAGACAATATATGACCCTCCAGTGTGCACACTGACAATATCTAATAGAAAGGGACCTGTTACGCCAAGACATGGTCTGACACCTTTTCTACGTTTCCATGAATTAAACGACGCAAAAACCAAAACAAGCATACTCGCGTTGAAGACAAACTCTGACATGCACATCTCTCATCATTTCAAGCAACAACTATGCAGTAGTGCCTCCGTTGCGCGTGGCAGAGTTGCGCTGCGCGGGACCGTTTTTCGCCTTTTCGGCGATGTTTGGGAGACCCTACAACTCACAGCTGCAGGTAGCTGCAGCTAAATTCTTTTGAGTCTTGTTCCTTGGCATGTTGGCTTTCGCAAGGCCTGAAGGAGACCGTTTAACCACGTTAAACAAAAAAGTGCCGCCTCGGCAAAGATTTAATTTTGACAATTTTGTCATAGTGTATTAAAAATGAAGCTGGACACCTAAAAAATCGTCCAAAATCAAATGTAAATGTATGTAAAGTTTCGTAAAGAAACGCCCTTTTACGTGGTATCAAAAAAAGGTCATGCGGTCGAGGCGGTCCGCGGGTCTAAGGTCAAGGTGTTCTGCGAGTACGCGCCGCGGGCGTGTTCGGCGTGGCAGGGGCGGTGCGTGGCGTGGCGGGCGGCGTGGCAGTGGCGGGGCAATGCGGGCGGGTGGTGGCGGGCGCGGCGTGGCGGGGCGTGCGGATCCCTTTGCCGTCCTGTCCTCCATGCTCCTGGCGCGTGGTCCACGGCGCGAGGGAGAGGGGGTGGGAGGGGGGCACATCACGCCACTCTCCGCGAGCTACGCGCGACCGCGGCGCCCTCGCCCCATTGGCTGTCGCGGCTAGTGTGTCGACCCGAGCCGTCGCGCCGCAGATTCCTTCCCCCTCCCCCTCCCCTGCCGTCTAGCCGTCCGCACGATTAGAAAGAGACAGCGCGAGCCGACGGGGTGGCGGCCACGCGGGCGCGGCGCGGCGAGCAGGTCGGGCCGGCCGTGCCGACTGGAAGCTCGAACGACACTTTTATTGTTGATTGAGCATGTCGGCCGGGCGTGGGACCAAGCCAGCCGCAGCAGACTCATTCCGAGAGTCGTTTCCGTCGCTCTGTCTCTCTCGCACTCATGGAGCGTTTCGCATAGGTGCGACACAGACAGAGCGACGAAAGTCGGAGTCGATGTCGCGTAGGACCGGATTAATGGTGCAGGCACACTGCGCTGGGCTGCAGGGCAGGGCGTTCTGCCGGCGCGCCATGTGTTGTCACAGCTGACAGGTTATCGCGCGATATCTGTACAAGTCCCATTCCATACGGCGGGAAAATTCGGCGCAGCAGCGCCAAGGCCAGGTGCCGGGGAAACAATCCGCAAAGACGCGACTTTGGTTTTGTTCGTTTTCGATTGGAAACGAAATTTGGAATGCCGCCGCCAAGTCACGTAATACTTGGCGGCAGAAAAATGTCAGGAATACGTTGGAGGAGAAGGCGCCGGCGTGGCAGCAGACTGGTTCCGAGAGTCGTCGCTCTGTCTCTCTCGCACTCATGGGGCGCTCCGTGAAGGTGCGAGAGAGACAGAGCGACGGAAACGACTCTCAGAATGAGTCTGCAGCGTCTCCACGTCGCCTAGGCCTGACCTTCCGCACGCCAACTGTCCGCTCAAAGTGGCGAGCGGCGGTCACCTGCCGGGCGTGCTGGAAAATGACCTCATTTCGAGGGACTCGAGAGGGATCCCCGTTGTATCGACATTTAAAATCAATAATAGAGCCTTCTCTGCGGGGAATGCGCCGCGTCGGCTGGTTGCCTCTGCGCTGACCCTAGACGCGAACAGCCCGATAGCCAGTGCCCCGAACGCGCCACGCGACACGTGAACCACCGCACAGTGGGCCGGAAGACCGGTGGAGGCGGCCAAAGCGCTAGACGCGTTTTGAGCTCCAGAGTCACTAAATGGGACTCGAACCGAACTTGTGACCCCACCAATGGATTGCTCTTCAAACGAGGAATCCATTGGTACGGTGACAAGTTCGGTTCTAGTCCCATTTAGCGATTCTAGAGCTCAAACCGCGTCCAGCGTTGGCCGCCTCCACCGGTCTTCCGGCCCACTGTGCAGCGCCTGGGTGAGGGCCATGATTTTGACCGCGGCGAGGACCGTGGATGAAACTCTCTGGCCCGCCGTGACCATCTACGAAATGAGTCTCTACGTCGGATAAACGGTGACGCATACAAGCTTTAGGCTAACTATTGAATGACATCAAATGGGAATAAAATTTTCAAGGTTAGTGTGTAAATCTGACCACCAGTACTATGGGTTACGGCGGGTCAGGAGCGGGTCACGTTTTTCGTCGGCGACCCAGCGCGTCATGCTGAGGCCGAAGTCCACCGGGCACGCCCTGGACTCGGACTCTAGCGGAGCCTATCCGCGATTTCTTGGCACACCTTTGGCCTTCCGTGGCCTTGGCTTCCTGAGCAGGTGACTTAATGGCCGGTCAAAGGCAAAGCGGCCCTTTCGAAACCGGATTAGCATGTGTTTTTACCCGGGATTTCTCACTGAACCGCCTTTCCATAGATCCAGTAGTGACCCCCCCCCCCCCCACCTCATCCCGACGGAGCCTACACTGCGAAGCATCTCACAAACGGAGACTTGAACGCAATTGGTACGGGTGCCTTCAGCACACTGATTACAGGAGTTGCTCATCTCTCTCGCTCCCATCGGGCGTCCCGCATAGGTGCGAGAGAGACGGGTTGACGAAAATTGCTCTCAGAATCAATCTGCAGCGCAGCGGGGCAAAACACGGACCAAACTGCTGCATTCGAACGCTGTCTTTCGGAATTCCAATCTAAACCTGGGTTCTTCGACAGTGAGTGTTTTAGTATCCGCAGTTTCCCGGGTTTCCGCATCACACAAGTTGCGCTCTCTCTCTCGATACTAGTAGAAATTAACATTTTAAGGAATTTTTAAAACTGTCTGCTTAACACTTCCTATAGCACAGGAAAGACGATGTTGGAAACTTCTTTTCAAAGGAACCAATCAACTGTTCTACAGTGTCTACACTGATAGAAAAAAGTGAGTCAAATCGACTAAAATTTAGTTGATTTTCACTAAAAGAGGACTAAGAGGAATATTTTTTCGAAAGAATTAAAAGTTACTAGTTTTTGCCGATTTGACTTCCTTACATAACTGGTGTAAGGGTGTGGCCCTGGCCCGGTGGCTGCTCTGGTTACTCACTTTGTTGGTCGGGGTGGTTCCGCTTGGTTGCTTCCTGAGGGACAGGTCCGGCTTGTCCGGCGACTCACTGTTCACTGTGGTCTCTGGGCGATGGGGTCGTATATTTGTAGGTACCGAGGACGCTGTGCTCGCCCCGCCCTGTCCCGCCCCGCCTCGCCCCGCCCGCTCGAGCTTCTGAAGTCGCGACGCGGCGGCGTGGTCCGCTGGTGCGCCCCGCGAGCTGTCACCGCCGCCCCTGCCCCCTCCACCGCGCAGGCCATGTGCTCGCCTCCTGAGCGCCCCCTTCCCCCTCCCCCTTCCCCTTTAGGGCCTCACGTCCCTTCCGCTGACAGGGGGACAAACTTCGCGTCGCGCCACACGGCAGCGGCACGTCACCGGAACCACGAGAATCGGACAAACTCTTTTCCCTCACACACCAACCCTCACTAACACACACCAACACACACCGACACACACACATACACACAAACAGACAGACAGACACACACGCGCGCGCGCGCCAATACACACACGCACACCAAAATCCAGCCCGAATATTATTTCCCTGCACCCTCTCTGATATGGAATATCTTTGACATGAGGGTGTTGGATTTAATGTCAAACATCCCCTCTTCCTCCCCTCCTCTCCCCCTCCGCTGGACAGGGTCGTCACAATTGACGCCGTGCTCGCAAAAAAAAATGTTGTGCGCAGTGCTTTGGTGGGCAAGAAAACGACCACGTTCTAGAGACCGTGCCGTGCCGCTTGTGTTTTGCGGCGAAGACGCACGTGTGCACGTGACTGTGACTATCCGAAAGGCGTGGTGGATCTTTGGAGACTGATTTAGATCCTGAAATCAGCTCTCTCTCTCTCTCTCTCTCTCTCTCTCTCTCTCTCTTTGGACTCCTCTTCGGCCGTGCGGCAGCATAAAAGTCATGTCGTTATTCCTTGTAGAAAACCGTCGAAAACTGTATGCCAGAGGTTCCCAACCTTTTTCGGCTCGCGACCCAAAAATGGCTGCCAAAAAGTTTCGCGACCCCACAGCCGAAAATTCGCGACCCCATACGTGACCCCATAACCCCCAAAAATTGTTTGCGAAATTGTTAGTATTCAATTTTTCTGCCGTATTTTGTAGAATGCGAGTATACAACTTATATCTGTTGTGTGTTATGTCTGTGCCAACTGCACTTCCTAGAATTTCATGTTTTACTTTGTGCACCCAATTTGACCCCGCGACCCCAGGCACCACACCGCGACCCAACAAAAAATTTTCGCGATCCAAAATGGGGTCGCGACCCCTTGGTTGGGAACCGCCGCTGTACGCTTCAGGTGACGCCCTTCCTAGGTATTTGCTGCAGCCAGACACAGTTTCAGATTTTTATATCAATGTTTTAATTTCAAATAGCTGGAGGCACACGATAACGCCCTTCTTCTGACAACCGTTTAGTTATTACTTTTTCTTTTCTCAAATCAGCTCAGGCTTGTTTTATGATGGTGGTAAGCCCGCTCTGCGGCGTTTTGCTCGTTCAAAAAACCCCTGCAACGTTAAAGAAGCAGCGCTTGCTCTAAGAGGAAGGGACGGACCTTTCAAAACAGTACGGCGAGGCGGTGAGCCGGGTCGTTGGCTCCCTCCGACTGCAGTCGCCCTCTCTCTCGGACTCATTGGGCGTCTCGGCGTCTCGTCGGGGTGCGAGAGAGACGGATTCATCATCGCTGTGTCGGCCGAGGCGCAGGCGCGACATAGTGTGGGGTTCAGTGTGCCGCAGTGTGCCGCACGCCACACCGTCAGCACGTTGGCGCCAAAGAGAGCGACCCGCCTTCGGTCCCGCCGCGCCTCCGTGGGCATTCCCTGCGTCCCGCAGCCACCGCGTGGTGACCCCCCCCCCCTCCGCCGCGGGGGGCGCCCACGCGACCCGGGCTCGGTGTGCGATCCTCGCCGAAACATCGTAGCTCGCGGTCCGGGCCGGAGTCCGGCCCCGGTGGGGTGGTGTGGTGGTCCCGATGGCTATCGGGTTCCTGTGTGCTCCTCGTGGGGTCCACTGGTGTGCCGCCCCGCCGCGCCCCGCCGCGCCCCGCCGTGCCGCGGTCCCCATGGGGCCACCCCTACACGTGGGTCGCGGCGTCGCGGCCGTGGTGGACTTTGGCCGAGCGTATCGAGGAGCCGAGCGGTTGGCGAACGCGGCATCAGCCGAGCCGGCCGGGGCCGCGTGCGCGCCACTCTGTCGCTGTCTCTGTCACTCCACCGGCACGGCCCGGCACAGCCCTGCACGGCCCGGCACCGCGCTGCGAGTGCGACGGAGACGGACTGCGACCGGCCGGTGCCTTCAAACGCTGCCCGCGAAGCCGCCACAAGGAGCAACCCCAGCAAAGCGTTTTCCTATCTGAAGAGAAGCGGCCTCTTTGAGGCTCGGCGCACAGTGGGCCAGAGGACCGGTGGAGGCGGTCGAAATCCGAGTCTCCAAAATGGGACTCGAACCGAACGTGAGACCCCTCCAATGGATTGCTCTCCGTACGAGGAATGCATTGGTGGGGTCACACTTTCGGTTCGAGTCCTGTTTAGCGACGCTTGCAGCTCGAAACGCGTCTAGAGTTTTGGCCGTCCCCAGCGGTCTTCTGGCCCACTGTGAGGCGGCGCGCTCGTGGACAGTCGCGGAGTGGGAGCAGTCAGCCAGTCTGTACCGTTCGTCCTACCTTTCACTCGGCCAGTCTTATCGCCGGTTGGGTTCAAATGTTCAATGGCTGCGACGACGCGTCGCGTTTGACCTCCAGTGCGATACCCGGGCCCATCGACGAACACTCGACGCATCGCGACGCACAGTGGGCCAGAAGGCCAATGGAGGCGGTTAGAGTTCTAGACGCGTTTTGGGCTCCAGAGTCGCTAAATGGGACTCGAACCGAACGTGTGAAAACCCACCAATGGATTGCTCTGCGAACGAGGAATCCATTGGTGGGGTCACACGTTTGATTCGAGTCCTGTTTACCGACTGTAGAGCTCAAAACGCGTCGAAAGTTTTGGCCGCCTGCACCACTGTGCGACGCTTTGGTGCCACACAAGAGGGCTAAAAATCCCACGAGACACTGCAGTGTAAGGGTTGTCACTCTCAGTCTGGTTGCGTGCCAGGTACTGGGGTTTGCGCTCACTCACTCCGATTCCTGAATGCACTATCGCGCCCTTCACGGTAAAAATGGTTCCTGGTTCTACCAGGAGCTCCCCGGAAATCGCCTATGTCTTTTCCATAGGCTACCTGGGAAAATCAGGAAGGGATTTTGCCGTGCATCATGGAGTCTAGAGAGCACCAGCTCCCAGAAGCATAAATATCGTGCAGTTGGCCTTCCCTACAGTGTTGGAAAATGGGATTAAGGCCGCATTTTTCTCACTTCTTTCACGCTCAGTTCTGCATTGGTTTCAGCTAGTTCTAATAATAATAAAAACATTATTGAGTAAAATTTTATTAAATTCATGTCTATTTATACATAGTTTTTTTGTTTTTACAAATGGCACATACATGCAGTTCTTACATCAAGAGTCTGCGCAACAGGCAGTTGATATGCTAGAGTTAACTTATTAAAGTACAGTAGTTACAATAACTGGCAATACCAAATTATATCACATAATACACTGGAGCAGTAGGTATCAAAGCATAAGTTTATCAGTGCGAGGAGGCCTTTGCCTGCATTACGTATGTGGGATGTGTTTCGTAATGAGTAAATACCCCTCAGTACACCCGCTCCCTCAGGTACCTCTTTCTCCAAACAAATGAGTCTGTTTCCGTACCACCAGTCTTGCTACAATCATCACACAAAGCACTTATTTTCAGCTACGTGGGCGGTAATATATCGGCAACAAATGGATACTTCCAAACATTTTGCTTGAAGAGTGAAACAACTATGGCACATGACTTGAACAGTGTTCAACTAAGACCCCTCTTGTTTAATGTTGAAATGTTTTGTCGCGTCGCAACAGGGTTACATCTTTCTCGTCGTCAAAATTATTTTAACAACAAATTATTTCATGAAAGTGGGGCTCATCCGTCCGGCGAACTAGCAGACCGCGGTGCTCCATGGCTGGAATGACCCAGGCTCCGGCTCGGGGAACTGCAAATGCAAACAGTGTGGTAAGTGGGAGGTATCGCACAGTGTGGGCCAGAGGACCGGCCCAGGCGGACACAATTCTAGACCCGTTTTGAGCTCCAGAGTCGCTATAAGCAGGACTCGAATCGAGCGTGTGACCCCACCAATGGATTCCTCGTTCGGAGAGCAATCCATTGGTGGGGCCACACGTCCGGTTCGAGTCCCCACTCACGTGCGCGGTGAGGTTGTCCGGGCACGCCATCCTGATCCTGGCCGCCGTGGCCGGCGAGTGCAGGGTGAAGTAGCCGTGCAGCCCCGCCTCCTCCCGCGCCGCCCTCACGGCCTCCCAGATGGCGAAGAAGGCCGACGCCGCCAGGAAGAGCGGAGGCTCGCCCACCGCCTGCAACAGAACAAGCGTTGGAGCGTGGAGTATCGCTGGGGTGTCGCCCTGGGGATACCCCACGCGAGGCGCGGGGTTCTAGGTCACCCGAGGGGGGAGTATCGCCGTCGGGGTTCAAGGTCAACCGTGCGCGGAGTATCGCCGGTATGTCCCCGGCGATACCTCACGCACAGTGGGCCAGGGCCAGAAGACCGGCGGAGGCAGCCAAAATTTCCGGGCGCGTTCAGAGCTAGGGACTCGAACCGAACGTGTGACCCCACCATGGGATTGCTCTTTGAACGAGCAATCCATTGGTGGGATCACATATTGGATTCGAGTCCTGTTTGGCGACTCTGGAGCTCAAAACGCGTCTGGAGTTTTGGCCGCCTGTATCGCTCTCCTGGCCCACTGTGTCACGCGATGCGCGGGGTTCACGGAGTATCGCCGCACCTTGGAGGAGTACACGGCCCTGGGGTTGGGCGCGCCCTTGAGCAGGGCCACGTTGAACTCCTGGGGGATGTCGGCGAAACCCGGCAGCTTGTAGACGCCTGGGCCGCGCGAGAAGATCATGCCCGTAGGCGAGTACACCATCTCCTCGAGCGTGAACAGGCCGTAGCCCTGGATGAAGCCGCCCTCCACCTGGCCGATGTCGATGGCGGGGTTCAGGCTCTCGCCCAGGTCCATGACGATGTCGGAGCGCAGCACCTGCAAACAGCCAAGATTATCAACGATAGTCCTCACTTCACAGCACACAGTGGGCCAGGAGGTTGGTGGAAGCAGCAAATATTCTCGACGCGTTTTGAGCTCCAGAGTCGCTAAACAGGACTCGGACCGGACGTGTGACCCCACCAATGGATTGCTCACCGAACGGGGAATCCCTTGGTGGGGTCACACGTTCGGTTTAGCGACTCTGGAGCTAAATGGACGCCCTCTCCGGTCTTCTGGCCCACTGTGGGACGATTGCTCTGCCCACTTGCAAAAGAAATGAGCAGCAGACACTCCATGCGCAAGTGGTCGCCCGCGTGTCCAGCATTGAAAGTCACTCGGCCGCAGAGTATCGCCAAGCTCAATTCTTTTGCGAGTAATCCCGTAATGCCGCGTCATTTCTCTTCACCTGGTGATCCCCTGTCAGACAGTCGATCTCCACTTCGGTGACGGCGGCGCCGAAGGTGAAGTAGTTGAACATCTTGCCCGTTTTCGTCTCGCGATTGAAGCCGATGTCTGGTGTGCTGTTGAAAAGAAAACGGATGAAAAATCCTCGTCGTTCCGCGGAGGAATATAATAACGTTTGAACGGCGTGGAGTACTCACGCGTGGAAGCCGCTGGCCGAGAGCTGCACCCGGTCGAAGTAGGCCTTGTTCACCCAGTCCTTCCACTCGCCCTTGGGGTTGGCCTCTTTGTACGGCTTGAGGCGCGCCAGGATCTGTTCACACGCGTCCTGCGGAAGCGAAGCAAAGCGCCAAGGGAGACCAACGCCTAGAATCGTATTTGGGGCGAGTCATTGTCTAGGGCCACTCAGTCGATGGCGACACCTACCAGGACAGCCATGCCGTTGAGATCGGAGCCCGCACTGGCGGCCGTCGGCGAGGTGTTGGGCACCTTGTCCGTCGCCGTCTCGCTGATGAAGATGCTCGACTCGGGGATCTGCAGGGCGCGGGCGCAGACCTGGAGGCAGCCGCGAGGCAGCACAGTCAAATTAGCCAAGCGCGGATACAGAGGAACGGCAAAAGCACAACGGCCCCTCCCTTGACCCAGTCGCCCGAAAGCTAGGCAAAATGCTACACTTTGCCCCTATAAGTAGGCAAAAAGTGCTGTTTTGCACTCCCCGCTGGTCGACACTGGATCCGCCTCTGCCTCTAGCTGGCGGGCCTGGCGGGCGCCTACCTGGATCATCTTGGTGTGCAGCCCCTGGCCCATCTCAGTGCCGCCGTGCGACAGCAGCACCGACCCGTCGGCGTACACCAGCACCAAGGCGCCGGCCTGGTTCAGGAAGAGGGACGTGAAGGCGATGCCGAACTTGGTGGGCACGACGGCGAGGCCGCGCTTCCGGTAGCGGTGCTGCCGGTTGAAGGCCTCCACGTCGCGGAGGCGCCGCTGGTAGTCCGCGTCCTTGAGGCACTGCGACCAGCAGCGCTGCAGCGTGCAGTGCACCAGCTCCTGGTTGTAGTGGGTGCGGTCGCCCTCCTTGTAGAGGTTCAGCTCGCCCACCTGCGGCATCGGGGAGGGAAGGGTGAGGCGCCAGCCCGCCACACACGCGTGCAGCAGGGTTGCCTACCTCGCAGGCGCCTGCAGCGTGGGCCAGCCCGCCACACACGCGTGCAGCAGGGTTGCCTACCTCGCAGGCGCCTGCAGCGTGGGCCAGCCCGCCACACACGCGTGCAGCAGGGTTGCCTACCCGACATTACCATTACCATTAAGGGCTAGACCCCACATGCCATTTCGGGCCCGACACATGGTCGCCTGCACTGCAAAACGAGGCGGAGGCAGGCACCCTCTGTGTCAAGTCTGCAAACTGATTCCGATCCGCAGAATAGTTTCGTTGTTATGACTTTGTCGCACCCATGGGGCGTCACGTAGTGGTGGGAGAGAGATATAGCGACGAGACTCCTTACCTCCCTGGGGTCCTTGCCGATGCTGGCGGCGACGTGGCGCACCATGTGCTCCGCCACGAACATTCCCTGCGGCCCGCCGAAGCCCCTGAAGGCTGTGTTGGACGGCAGGTTGGTCTTGCACACGTAGCCCGTGGCGCGGCTGTGCGGGATGTGGTAGGCGTTCTCAAAGTGCGACATGGCGCGGTCCATCACCTGTGGAGTGCGGCAAAATTGAGTTGCCTGCCAGTACACCGTGGGCCAGAAGACCGGCGCAGGCGGCCTTAACTCTCGACGCGTTTTTAGCTCCAGAGTCTACAAAAGAGACTCGAACCAAACGTGTGACCCCGCCAATGGACTCCTCGTTCGGAGGGCAATCCGTTGGTGGGGTCATACGTTAGGATTGAGTCCCATTTAGCGACTCTGCAGCCCGAAATCCATCCGGTGTTCTGGCCGCCTCCATCGTGGCAAGGCTGCCGTCGGCGCGACGCGGCGCGACCTACCGACGTGGAGAGGTCCTTGCTGTAGCCCGCGTTGTTGTAGATTTGCACGTCGGCGGCGTAGATGCGGCCCTCGGCCGTGTGGGCCAGCTTGTAGCGCATGAAGAAGGGGTGACGGGTGCCGGTGATGAGCATGTCCTCGTCGCGGTCCAGCATGATGCGCACGGGGCGGCCCAGGCGGGTGGCGGCGAGGGCGGCGGGCAGCGCCACCACGTTGCCCTTGGACTCCTTGCCGCCGAAGCCACCGCCCATGCGCTTGGTGCGGCAGATGACGCGGTTGCTGTCCACGCCCAGCATGTGCGCCACGAGTTTCTGCGGCAGGGATTCAATTTTGAGCGTCCTTCCTCGCCGGCAACGTCACCACCGTCAAGGTCGCCACCGTCAAGGTCACCACCGTCAAGGTCGCCACCGTCAAGGTCGCCACCGTCAAGGTCGCCACCGTCAAGGTCGCCACCGTCAAGGTCGCCACCGTCCCTTTCCCAACCGAACTCACCTGCGTCTCGGCCGGGTTCTGCGTGGACGAGAAGATCTCCAGCTCGTCGTCCTCGTTCTTGGGCACGGCGATGCAGGCCTGCGTCTCGAGGTAGAAGTGCTCCTGGCCGCCCATGTGCACCTCGCCCTCCAGCACGTGCTCGGCCTCGGCCAGGGCCTTGTCCACGTCGCCGGCCGCGAGCACCATGGGCTTGGTGTGCCAGGCCTCGTGCTTGATGGCGTCCTGGAACAAGGCGTGGAATGTGAACGTCGCTTCCCTTCGCCCGAGAAACCTGCAGCCTTCGCCAGGCGGGGATGTTAAAACGGCGCACAGTGGGCCAGAAGACCGGTGGAGGCGGCAAAAACTCTTGACGTGATTTAAGTTCCAGAGTCGCTAATCTGGACTCGAACCCAATATGTGATCCCACCAATCGATTCCTCGTTCGGAGAGCAATCCATTAGAAGGGTCACACGTTCGGTTCTAGTCCCATTTAGTGACTCTTCTGGAGCTTAAAGCGCGTCCGGGGTTTCGACCGCCTCCACCAGTCTTCTGGCCCACTGTGGGGCGTGCGAAATCAGTGCACTAACCTCGATGGTGACGATGGCGGGCAGGTCCTCGTACTCCACCTTGACGGCCTTGGCGGCCCTCTGCGCGGTGTGCTGGTCGTCGGCCGCCACGGCCGCGATGATCTGGCCGAAGTGCTGCACCTTGGTGGACGCGAACACCTCGTCGTCGTGGAAGATAGGCCCCCACTCGTTCCTCTCGGGCTCCAGGTCCTTGGCGGAGAGGAACAGGTGCACGCCGGGCATGGCCAGGGCCGCGCTGGGGTCCACGGACACGATGCGCGCGTGCGCGCGCTGGCTCATCACCAGGCCCAAGTAGAGCTCGTTCTCGTAGCGGGGGATGTCGTCGATGTACACCGCTTCGCCGGCCGCCTGCTTGAAGGCCGACTTGTGCACCATGGGGAGGCCGACGGGGCCCTTGGTCTCGTCCTTCTCCTGGAAGCGTTCGAAACGGGAATCGGTAAAGACAACTGGGAAATCCTATTTGGTGGCTTTTGAAGGCGCACAATGGGTCAGGTCAGAAGACCGGTGGAAGCGGCCAATACTCTGGGCGCGTTTTGAGCTCCAGAGTCTCTAAACAGGACTCGAACCGAACGTGTGACCCCTCCAATGGATTCATCGTGTGGGGTCACACGTTCGGTTGAGTCACATTTAGCGACTCTGGAGCTCAAGACGCGTCCAGAGTTTTGGCCGCCTCCACCGGTCTCCTGGCCCACTGTGCGTACCAGGAAGTAGTACTGCGAGGACTTGGGCGGCTTGGCCGTGAAGCTGGTGGCGGCGCTGCGCAGGGGTGCGGGCAGCGGGGCGACGCTCTTGAGCCTCTGCGCGAGCTGCTCGGTGATGGCCAGGTAGCCCTTGAAGAAGAGGCTGAGCGTGAGCGAGCTGCGGTACCGGATCATGCCGCCAGGGGCGCTGGGGGCGAGGGGCAGGTCCGCCACGAGCGTCGCGTAGGCAGCGTCCAGCATGGCGTCGTTCCACGGCCTGCCGGCAACACCCCGCGTGTCAGAAATTGGAACACACTGGGACCTCTCGTACAGTGGGCCAGAGGACCGGTGAAGGCAGCGAAAAATTCTTGACGGGTTTCGGGCTCTAGTGTCTCTATATATGACTCGAAACGAACGTGTGACCCCACCAATTGATTGCTCTCCGAACGAGGAGTCCATTGGTGGGGCCACAAGCTCGGTTCGAGTCCTGATTAGCGACTCAGGTGCTCAAAACGCGTCTAGAGTTTTGGCCGCCTCCACTGGTCTTTTGGCCCACTGAGTATCGCGAGAACAGAAATCGCTGCAGACTGATTGCGAGGGTCGTTTTCGTCGCTCTGTCTCTCTCGCACTCATGGGCGTCCCGTCCCGTATAGGTGCGAGAGAGACAGAGCGACAAAGTCCGCTGGTTGGCTACTCACTTGCCGATGAGCACCTCGCGGGTCTTCCTCGCCTGCACCGTCATGGGCGCCATGCCGCCGTACGCCACGTGGAAGTCCTTGACGACGTTCGAGTTGGGCTCGAAGGTGACGTTCATGGCGATGTTGACGATGGCGATGTCGTCGTCCCGCCTCTTGGCCTGCTTGAAGGCGTAGAAGTACTGGTCCTGGGGTGGAATCAGAGATCAGTTAGCGCCTGAACGAAGGTACCCTTTCGGATGCTTTCAATTATGCACGCTTAAAGACCTTATACGAATTTGAGCATACACAGTACAAACGAATTTACTTTGCTATACGAAGGAATAGTTCGTAAATTACTTAGTATTCCCTTTGTAAGCTTATGTATTCTCAACATACTTTGCTACTTTTCTTTGGAAGGCCGAAAATAGTTTGTAAGGTTTGTTTCAGAGTGTGGTGAAGTCCCTTACTTGGTGCGTGAAGGGCACGTCGATGGACACGAGGATCTCGTCGGCCTTCACGACGTTGCGGCGGTAGCCCGTGAAGAACGTGTGGTCCAGCTTCACGGTCCGCCTGCCGCGCTCTGAAAATCAAATCAAAATCAGTTTCATTTCATCAGGCAGTATTTTAGTTTGTTTTCGAACACAGATACACACCTTTGCTACAGACGATCAGGTCCACGTTGCAGGCCAGGAGGATGGGCAGCATGTCGGAGATGGGGCTGCCGGTCATGATGTTGCCGCCGATCGCCTGGAAAAGGAACGAGTTAGAGAATGACACTCTTGAAATAGTTGACATTTATTCCAAGAGGGTATCCACGCACAAAACCTGTGAGCGTGTTATTAGTGGCATGCTATTGCACAGCGGGACAGAAGGCCCGTGGAGGCGGTCGAAATTCCAGGTGAAAACCCGTCGGAGGCGATTCGAACAGAACGTGGGGTCACACGTTCGGCTCGAGTCCTGTTTAGTGACTCTGGAACTCAAAACGCGTCTAGAATTTGGGCCGCCTCCGGTCTTCGCGACCGCTGCGCATCGCGAAACCCCAGAAACCCTAGTTGGCAGTGTGCCAGCTTACCCCCACGTTCCTGATCTGGCGGCCGGCAAAGAAGTGCAGCATGTCGACGATGGCGGACAGGACCCTGGTCCTGGCGGGGGGCTCGGCGCGCATCACGCCGCGGAAGTAGTCCTCCATGTCTCGCAGCGTCACGGACGCGCCGACGCGCACGAAGCCGTCGTGCTGCTGGATGTCCACCAGCTCCGGGATGCGGCTGGGCATCACCTCCACCGGGTACAGGCAGTTCTTGAACTTGGTTTCAACGCCTGTGGGCAACAGTAAAGCAGATTGTGGATATTTGTCTCCCCAGCAGACTGATTCCGAGAGTCGTTTCCTTCACTCTGTCTCCCTCGCACCCATAGAGCACCTACAATATAGTTGCGAGAGAGACAGAGTGCGACCTAGCAGAGACCCAAGATTGAGCTTGCCGCAGCACAAGACTAGCACCGGAGGCCAAAACTCTAGACGCGTTTGTAGCTCAAGAGTCACTAAACAGGACTCGAACCGAGCGTGTGACCGCACCAATGGATTCCTCGCTCGGAGAGCAATCCATTGGTGGGGTCACACATTCGTTTCGAGTCCCATTGGCGCCTCTGGAGCTCAAAACGCGTTTCGGGATTTTGACTGCCTCCACCGGTCTTCTGGCCTACAGTGCGCAGTGCGGCGCTGTGACCTACCGACTTCGGTGTTGCCCACGATGATCTTGGCGTCGTTGTGCTGGTGCTTGAGCTCCAGCAGCGCGTCCAGACTGGAGGGCCGGTGCCACGTGACGCGCGGGCCCTTGATGACGAGGTGCTGGTTGTCCAGGGCACCGCTCACCCTCAGCTCCGGGGGGAAGATGGGCTCCTGCGAGGCGTCGTAGGGCGCCCACTCGCTGGGGTCGAACAGCTGCTTGGGCTTGCCGGCGCTGTTCAAGTCCTCCTCCTCGTCGTCGGCGGCCCCGCACCCCTTGCCCGTCACCTTGCAGCACTTGCTGCCCATGCCGCAGCCGCCGTTGCTCACGCCGTTGCCGTTGACTCCGTTGACGCCGTTGCTGTGGCCGTTGACGCCGTTGCTGTGGCCGTTGATGCCGTTGCCGTGCCCGTTGACGCCGTTGCCGTTGGCCAGGCTGTGCGTGCGCACGGTGGACTGCATCTGCTCCCACTCCTCCGTGAAGGTGCGGAAGCCCTCGATGATGGGACGGTAGCCCGTGCAGCGGCAGAGGTTGCCTGCGCGGAGGGCAAGTTAGAGCAGATTTGCCTCAAAAGTTAGGGACATGTCCCATCTGCAATTGGGGTAATTACGGGATGCGGGGTGAAAATGGGCCAGCTGATTCTTGGTCAAGATTTGACATTGTTGAACTTATGCCACACCAAGTGTTATATTTACAATAGAAACATTACAAAAACATCAAAATTTTGACGAATTTTCGTGAATTCTGTTTGTACTGTGGAGAAAATCGCCACCATAATATGGCGGTGCAGCCTTTCACCGCAAGACGTTTACAGTGCACGTACCTTGCATGGCCACCTCCAGGTCGTGCATGGAGGGCTTGGGCAGGGTCCGCAGCAGCGCGTACATGGACATGACGATGCCGGGGGTGCAGAAGCCGCACTGCGAGCCGTGGGCCTTGGCGATGCGCTCCTGCACTGGGTGCAGCCGCGTGCGCGTTGACCCGATGCCCTCCACGGTGGTGACGGCCAGCCCGTGCATCGCGCACACGGGCGCCAGGCACGCGTTCACGGCCAGGTGCCTGCGTTCGTCAAGGAAGCCACGGGGCGCGGGTTCGAATCCCGCCAAAGGGGCGTCAACTTACATAGCCTAACGTTTTCCCATTGCTCAGTCCTTGTTGCTCCATATGGACTGCCAGTGAGTGCGACAGGGACAGAAGATGTTAGGTAATGTGTGAATGAACCCCTACACTCAGAATGATAGAGTCATAATCACGATTAAATTTTGGACAAGGTATTCTTCATTGCCCAAATTTGGGCGAAATTCATTTCATCAGCCGAATTTGGGCGAGGAAACCATCCTTTCTCAAATTTGGGTAAGAATACTACCTGGCCATATAGATAGCTAAATTTGGGTGTGAATATAATCCTCGCCCAAATTTGGGTGATAAAGTAAAACTCGAGGGGTGACGCACTGTAAAATTTTGTGTACAATGATTGTGTGAATGTGCAAGAATGTGCAAGATTTCTGGCGTTTTTGCCTCACATGTTGCCTACTTACAGGCGTTTTTGCCACCTGAATGTGGAATGTGGTCGAATTTTGCACAATGAATGTGGGAAGCTGTTCCCCCCTCGGTAAAACTCGCCCAAACTTGGGTGGACTTTTTACGGGGGCCGATCTTTCGACTCGGCATGTAGACGAATGACGGACGTTTCGCGTAGACGTGAAAAACGGCGCGAAAAAAACAATAAGAACGTAACACTTGATGTGTCTCGGACGTTCGCGCCTGTGAGGTAGGCAACCCATCCGGCAGCGCCAGAGTCGGAGCGCCTGCGAACTTCGAGTGGGCCAGCCCGCACGGCGCGCCTGTCGCCCGGCACGGCCCACGCTGCAGGGGCTCGGCAGTTACCGCAAAGGAGTGTGCCAAGGGAACGACGACAACAACAACAACATGAAGAACAGAGTGAAGCGGTGCCGCTTTTCGAGATAACGCCAGATAAACCCGTGAGGAAAAGTGCGTTCCAAACCAACGTGCGGTAGTGACAGAGATGCAAACGTTGGGCTTCCCAGCAGACTGTTTCGTCGCTCTGTCTCTCTCGCACCTATACGGAACGCTCCATGAGTGCGAGAGAGACAGAGCTATGGAAGAGATACACTAGAGCTTGAGAAAGGATACGCCACTTTGCCGGTGCTACGGTCCATCTTGGACACCATGACGGTGCAGGCGCCGCAGCCTCCCTCGGCGCACCCGAGTTTCGTGCCGCAGAGACGGACTGATCTGAGTCAAGGGCGGTACACTTCAAAGGAGAAATAACAGTTTACACTTCATAAATTCTCATTTTTTCGATTTCTTTAGAGCGTGGCAAGGATACGTTTGTTTCTCAGGTAATACAGGAGCGTCCATTCTGGGTCCGGGTTTGGGTCGACCACCTGCAACAGAGAGGGAGATGCCTTTAGAGTGGTTCCTGAACTGCGATTGTGTGGGTGCAACCATCGAGGTTATAACATTCTCAAACTGTGATGGTTAAGCTTCACTTTATGAGTATTACTCAAAGACAAGAGTGGTGACATTGGGTAGATGGTGCAACAAGGCCGACTTTTTCCTTAGTTGCACTCCTAAATACGTCTCGTTTCAGCGCGTCCCAGACCCCTCCCCGCTCCCCTCCCCCTTCCCCCTTCCTCCTCCCCGTTGTCGCCACGCGAGAGCGCCAGTCTTATCGCCGTGTTGCCTACATGCCTCACTTTTGCGCAACGGTGTACGTACGACAAACACGTCAGTCAGAAAAGCGGCACGGGTGACTGCCGCGCGATTTTCCATAGTCTGCGGTCGGCCGCCCACAGTGGGCCAGAAGACGTGGAGGCGGCCGAAAGCCCGGACACGTTTTGAGCTTCAGAGTCGCTAAATGGGAGTCGGACCGAACGTGTGAACCCCCCCCCCTTTTCCCTCAGTGGATTCCTCGTTCGGAGAGCAATCCATTGGTGGGGTCACACGCTCGGTTCTAGTCCCATTTAGCGACTCAGGAGATCGAAACGCGTCAAGAGTAATTTTGACCGCCTCCACCGGTCTTCTGGCCCTAGGGTGGTCCAGCGGGGTCACGGCGCTCGGCTTGCAGGGTGACCCAGCCGACCACTGTGAGACGACCGACGCGACCTCGCCGACCCTAACCTAACTTAACCCGGTGCTCTCCGCGGGAGGCCGGAAAGAGGAGTGGGTGGGGGCGGGGAGGGGGTGTGTCCCCTCCCCCCTCCTGACTCATTCGCAATCACCCGTTATCTTTTTGTTTTGTTACATCACGACGTCATCGCCCTTGGGACTAGTGCGGCGCGCGGCCCGCGGACGCGGCGGAGAGGACCCGCAGCCTTGGCGGTAGCGGCGGCCGAGCCCGGCAACCTTGTTTTTCTCGCTCAAGATACGACCGACGGCTTTTCCATACCCAATCGGCGGCACGTTGCTGGGCCGCGCCACCGAACCGCGCCCTCGCTCGCCGCAACACCCTCCGACAAACGCCAAAGATGTTGTCCAGTGTGTGAGTGCAGGTGTGTGAGTTCCTCCCCCCCCCCCCCCGATGTGGCGGAGCTACCGGGGGTCAAAAAACTTGCAGACGTCTGCCCGCGGCTTAAGGAGGGGCCCCACAGAAGCCGTGACGACTCTTATGTAAAGGCCATTGGACGAACCATTAGCATGAGGCCGTCGTCGGTTCTGGTTCACGCGAATTCCTGGAAGAACGCGATCTAGCTCTACAAATTCCTCAGGTTCAGCGGCCGTTTTGATAACCGCGATTGATACCGTCGTCGTCGTTGTAAAAGTGGAGCGGTGGCTAGTCCTCCTACCTGTGTGCCCTTCCAAGCTACCCTACCCTCTTCACTCCTTGCTCCGACAGGCTCCCTAATCATGCATTACACACACACACACACACACACACACACACGAGAGTACATGTACAAACACACACAAGTACATGTACACGCACACACTCGCACCCACACGAATCCTATTGGTGTCGTAACACATTCCTCAGCCAGCCATTCCATCCTTCCGCCTCTCCTTCTCCCCGCCCCTTCCTCCCCTTTTCCACGCACACATTCATCCTGTTCGGATCGCTTCATTCAATTGGAACGCGTTTGACTCCACGAGGGTCGCTGTCGGTCGCTGTGCGTCGCTGTGCGGGGCGCACTGTGTGTGTGTGTGTGTGTGTGTGTGTGTGTGTGTGTGTACCTGACCTACTTCCCCCCCCCCTTCCCCCCAAATCCCGTTACTGTTGGACAGTTGGACAGCAAAATCTGTTGGCAAGCCCGATAGAAACGAAGCGTGCGTGAGCAAACATGAAACGGTGGCGAGGAGTAAATAACGCTTGCCACGCGGCGTGCTGGTGCCAAAGACCTCTACGGATTCGATTTGGCAGTGCACTTCCCGGAGACTCCCCCGCTGTCCAGGCTGTCCAGAGTCTGTGGAGGTCTCTCCAGGCTGGCGGGTCTGGGGGCCTGGAGGTCGCCGTCGAGGGTGTTCTCCCCACCGTGTTCGCCGTCCAGCTCGCCATGCTGGCCACGGAGGGCAGCACACTGATTGCGAGAGTCGTCTTCGTCGCTCTGTCTCTCTCGCACCTGAACGGAGCGCCCCGTGAGTGCCAGAGAGACAGAGCGACGAAAGCGACTCTCGGAGGGCGACGGGGCGTGCGCGACTCCGCGACCTCTCCCGGTGCGCGGCGGCGCGGCTGCGGACCGATTCCGAGAGTCGTCTTCGTCTCTCCGTCTCTCTCGCACTCATGGGGCGTCCCGTACCGGTGCGAGAGAGACACGGCGAAGAAAACGACCCTCGGAGTCAGGCGGCCGCGCGCGTGCCGGCTTACGTAACGCGCGGTGCGGCCGCTTGCCGCGAGCGGCGCTGGCGTCGCCAGTGGGCAGACTGGGCCGACTGGGCTGCTGTGGGTTCCACCGCGGTTCCACCGGACACGCCGCCGGTGCCTTCAGTGGACCCCTCTCAGTTAAACTGACAAAAGTAAATACTTAAAAAAATAATTTTAGAAAAATACTGTGCATAAAATGGTGCAAGGGTGGCCAAATGGGTTCTGTCACTTGAAACAAAGGATCGTAAGCTTCCAAATTTAGACTGTTACTTTTAAATGGCAATTAATGTAGTAATGGAGTGCACGATACCAATCAAAATACTTATGCCCGGACCTCGCAACCCTGCGTTTGTTTCAGTAATTTTTATTTTTGAAATGAATTTTTTTGATAATTTCCATGACTACATATTTTGTACTTCGCACACTGTCAGTGCCTGTTCAACCCCGTTTATGACAGTGAGCTGGTGAGCTGTCACTCGACGGCATGCAAGGGTCGGGGGAGGGGCGTCCCACACACCTGTTATCGCATTGGAGTCACAGGTGCGTTATTGTATCCACACAACACAGCGGTCACTCACCCCGGTTATCGGCTACAGCTGTTTTCTACACAAAATAAAGAGGTTTACTTGAATTAATGGCGTTGGTGTTTTTTTGGTCGCGACTGGGAGACTTTCCTCCAAATTGTACACAATGCATTATACATTGATCAATCAAAACCTCAAGAGACAATCAGACCGACATGCATTTTTGTGACAAAACTCATTGCCTAGACTCCATATAGACTCTTCATAGACTCCAAAAAGTCCCTCCAATAAATCATTCATAAAACTAAAACTATCACTGACGACTAGTGGCAGCACTATTCCTCCTCGACGACGACGTTAACTAGGTCGCGCTGACAGCTTGATTTGACAAGCCGAGCACTCATTCCTGCAATTTGCCTGAGCCTGTTAATCCCGCGTGGTGTTAAAGCGCGGTGCTGGGTTTCGTTACGTGAACGGAACGCCGTCGAGGGGAAAATTGAAACCAGCCACGCAGTTGAGGCGACAGTGATATCCTCAGACGATCCCTTTTAGATCAATTAATTTAGGAACCCTATCTAGATCGATTGAACTCTCCTAATTTGATGGCGGACTTCGTTTTAATTCGTCAAAATAATTACTTTTCATCTGGCCTTTGACCAAGTGACGTCTTTGCAGCCAGAAAAGGGTTCGACATTCAACAAAAGTCGGCATTTAACTGAGGTTTTTGACGAAACAATGTCGAGGACAATGTACGAAAAATTCGGCAGTCTATTCTTCAGTGGCGGGGTCTGTTGCCCGCGAAATGTGTGTCAATGGCACACTGCAGCAGTTTGCATGCTGAGTGGCGCAGAGGGGGCGTCCTTAAGCCGTTATCTCTGTACGACGAATTGGACGGACATACAGACAGATGGACGGACGGACGGACGGACCATGCATATGAGGCGGAGGAGTGGGTCGCTGTGTGGGATAGCGATCAGCTGATGTCCCCTCCCCGCTCCAGAGCGGACTGCGACGTCACAACGCTGGTTGACCACGACACTGCCACACTTGCAGACAAGCACAACACCCCCGAAAGTGTGTCGTTTGTCCTTGGACTGGCACTTGCCAATGACCTTGGGTGCGGTGGTTTCAATCATGACAATTGCAGTGCTCTAGCTACCGCGGGTGAAGAACAACGATGAACAAAAACACTCTTTTAGAGTGGAGGCGGTAAAAAAATGTCAGCTGGGTTTAGTATCGAGTGCACCATAGCTAGATAGCGAGCTGAGCTGACTTGTATTCAGTCCTTGTTCGGAGTTAGTCCGCTCTCGCGACCGCATTACACAAAAGAGTCAGCTCCTATTGTGTACTTAAAAGCCTACGGGTTTACAGTGGCTCGTAAGAGGCATTTTTATTTCTATCGTGCCGCATTTTCAAGTCGGAAACGCAAGCTGTGCCGGTGGGTGGAGTTCCTTCAACCAAACTAGCGCCAAAGTAAATAAACGAAAGCGACGTTCGGACTGCCTATGCATTCGTTGCATTCGCACGTTGGGGAAGCCAAGGCTCGGAGCTAGGAAGGCTGGGGCAGCCTTGAAGCCTGGAGGTTGCATAAGGCGACGCCAGAGGCACGCCTTGAGTTTGGCACCTGTTTTTGAACCGCATAGCGACCAAGATAGCGACGCAGCAGACTGATTCCGACAGTCCTTTTCGTCGCTCTGTCCCTCTCGCACCTATAAGGGACGCCCCGTGAGTGCGGGAGAGACAGAGCGACGACTGCTGCAGTGCGGCGGGGTCGCCTGCACTCCGCTCCACGTGGTCCTCGTGGCGACCGTTCCACACGCCCACAGATAGGGGCGCGAGGTGGTCAAGACGCTTGAGCAGAGGATGCGGGTGCGCCTTAAAATCAACGCCGGTATGTACTGTATAAATATTTAAGTCAAGCCGACTAAAACTATTGGTTTCGGTTCTGTTGAGTGAATCTTAGTGAAGAATTCCCGCCAAGTCAAAATTAAGCTTCTGAGAAAATGAACCACTTTTTAAGTCGACTTGTCATCTATTTTTACAGTGGTGCTTCGTAGAAGTGAGAGCGAGTGAGAGGGAAGGCCTACTGCCCCCGCTAGAGCTGGCAACGGGTCCGCCGGTGTGTCTCTATGCAAATAAACAGCTCGACATGCGCGAGCGTGGTCATGCAAACAAAGTGAAACCCGTAAACAGTGGCGTGAACGCGCACATGACCTGAGGGTGACAGCAACGGCACAAATGGCCGATTTTGACAGCAATGTATCCGTCTACGCAGCACAGTGGGCCAGAAGACCGATGGAGGGGGACGGAATGCCAGACGCGTTTTGAGCTCCAGAGTCGCTGAAGAGGGACTCGAACTGAACGCGTGGCCCCACCAATGGATTGCTCTCCGAACGAGGAATCCATTGGTGGGGTAACACGTTCGGTTCGAGTCCCATTTAGCGACTCTGGGGCTCAAAACGCGTTAGAGTTTCGGTCTCCTGGCCCTGAGTCTCGATCGACTTCGTCAAGAATGACGCACTACTCCAGTGTCCCCGATGCATCGTGCTGTTAGCCAAATGATCGTGGCAAGAATGTTTGGAACGCATTGGATGCTGCAACCTCAAGACTGCAGGGCAACGGATTTTTTTTACCGGTTCCGTTTGACTCGACGAATAAATTTCTTCGAGGTGGTTCCGGTTTCGGTTTTGGGGGCCTTGTGTTGCTATTTGTTTTTCTTGGGCCGGTCGGCCCCCAGCGAGCCGAAAATGCCTTATCAGATCCACTCAAATTAATCGCGAGCCTCGACAATAAAAACAAGTCGGGATAACGCCTCCCTATCGCCCGCTTTCAAATCCATACTTAGACAGTATCATTCTGCGAAAAATGTTTAAATAGAAAACGGGCAGGGAGGTCGGGTCACCTGCGGGGTCCTTGGTACACTTGGTCGCTGCTCCCTACTGGCGGCGCGGCACTGAAGACCACGCTTCAGGACAGGGATTTCAGCTTTTCACCCTCAACACGTGGCGCACAGTGGGGCCAGGGCCTGGAGACCGAGAGGCGGCCTAACGCGTTGTGAGCTCCAGAGTCGCTTAATAGGACTCGAACCGAACGTGTGACCCCACCAATGGGTTCCTCGTTTGGAGAGCAATCCATTGGTGGGGTCACACGTTCGGTTCGAGTCCCATTCAAAGACTCTGGAGCTCAAAACGCTTCCGAAATTTTGACCGCCTCCACCGGTCTTCTAGCCCACTGTGCGCGAGGGTGTTGGCGTTGGCGCACCTTCTTGCCGTTGACGAAGAACACGAGGGTGGACGACACGTTGGGGGCGTCCGGCATGGCGTGGCAGGGGCGGATCCAGTCAGGTAAATCCAGGCAGCCGCATGGAGCGCGCGGAAGGCGTAGGCGAAGGCACTACTGTTACTGTTACTCTCGCCGCGGCAGCGTCCCAGTGCCGTGCCAGCGTCCCCGGCGACGGTTATCTCCTCACTGGCTCGTCCAAGCTGCCCAAGCCCGCCAAGCCTACGAGGCGGCCCGCCTGCCGGCCTGCCCGCCTGCCGCTTGGGCCGGGCCGAGCGAGGAGCTAGCTGCCAGCACTGCCGGCCCGGCGCCGAACGAGCTTCGTCGCTCTGTCTCTCTCACACCCTGGGAAACGCGGTGGGGCGTGACAGAGGCAGAGCGACCAAAGCAAGCACTGTTCGGTTCGGATTCAGCCTGCTGGGCCACTGGGCCTCGGCCCGGCCCGACCGGCCTCGGCAGGGGCGTGCTAGGGCGGGCTAGGGCGGGCCTGGCCCTGGCTAGCCCTGGCGTGCCCTAGAGCCCTAGAGAGGGGGAGAAACGCGAACTGCTGAAATGCTCCGCTGGATTTCTCATATTTTAGGCTCTTTCGGGCGGATGCTGTCTGGACAATTTCTCATACATAGTCAAAATGGCCGTCGCTGGTTGTGTCTGCAACGAGGCGTTTGTTTACAAGCAAATACTTTTATTAAAAAAAGTTGTCTGTTTTGACAGGAGATTATAAACTAGTTTAGAAAAAAAATTAAGTGGTTGCAAGGAAACCCTGAGTTCATCACATTGTTTCCAGCTCGGAACATAATGACCTGAAGTAAGATGTAAAATATGACATTTGGTTATCATCAAAATTGATAGGCAAAAGTTAAACTATAATGCATTTTAATCCTGAATAGAAATGTTAATAATCTCTTGACACGTTAAGGTGGAATTGAGGTGTGGGTGAAACTTTGTATGTACCGAAATTGACTATAAAGATGAATTTAATTCCCTCTATTTACTACTACTTTACGTTCTTAGAGTCTTTGTTACCTGAACCCTTATGTGAGCGACTAATGGAACATGAACTGATACATTAATATCTATGTGCCTGTGGTGGTCACTCAACTCTTACGATGAATGTTGAAGAATTTTTTTTTCCACTCCGTCAACTGGCCACGCATTCATTTTTGTTTTATTCTGGCCAAATTTTTTGGGATAGTTCTTTGAGGTCTATGTAAAAATGTTATAGAGAGATATTTCAAATAACTAGCCATTTTCTCAAGTCGCAAACTGTTTTCAAAGATACTTTTTTCTTTTTTCACTATTTTTGGTTAAATTTTGGATTATTGTATATGTTTTGAGAAAAACTGATGTTTAATTATGGAAATTTGGAAATCCGTCTTTGCCACAGGACAGGCAAATCAATCTAGAACTTATAAAAACAGTTTGAGGTCTCGACAACTTTTGGTTTCTTGCAAGGAGAATTTGAGCCAACGGCTAAATTGGTTACGTAAACTTCAACTACTCAGAAACTAAACTAATGGGAGTTGAGTGCTTTAACTTGGGACTTAAGCTAATCTTATAGACAGCAACTAAAAAAGAAAAAGACAATCATGATGCCACAATTATTTTGTAAAAACAATTTGAGGTCTCGACAACTTTTGGTTCTTTGCAAGGAGAATTTGAGCCAACGACTAAATTTGTTACGTAAACTTCAATTACTCAGATACTAATGAGAGTTGGGTGCTTTAACTTTGGGCTAATGCTAATCTTACGGATAGCAAGAAGAAACCAAAAAGACAATCATGATGCCACAATTATTTTGAAAAGTGATGTTTCACATCTTTCCACTTTACAGTAACCTTCATATTTATGAAAAAAGCCCACTGTGGCTTAAAAGGAGGGTAGATGAAATTTGCTGTGGAATAGTTTGCCAGCTAGTTACGGTCGCTGACCAGCGCTGACCGACGGGGAGCGCGCAGCGCGCGCAGCCGCTGAAGCAGACGACGCGAGCGGCGCAGAACACTACTGCGCATAATAGTCAAAATGGCCGCACCAATCAGGTGCCGCGACGCGGGTCGCGTTTCTCCCACTACTCTAGGGCTCTAGCGTGCCCCACCGGCACCTCTAGGCTCGCATCCAGGCTTGCCTCCAGACTCAAGACCGCCAGCCGTCAGATTCCGAACTCAGCTTCGGCGCTGTCTCTCTCGCACCCCTACGGACCGCCCGATGAGTGCGAGAGAGGCAGAGCGACTAAAGCAGTGCCCCAGACGGCAGGGGGCGTCCGTGCGTTACGTCTACGTCCGGCCACAAAGGAGGCGGCAGCTCGATCTCACTCGGACCAGGCGCGGTTTCAGGAGCTCCCCACAGGGAGCGGGCATTCTGTATATTTTGCCTACCTACAGGGCCATGCGGTGCGGGTTGCCTACCATCAGGGGGAGGTCTCCCTCTCACACTCATGGGGCCCTCCGTAAGGGTGCGAGAGAGACAGACGACGCAGCTCGGAATCCCTGTGCTGGTGGACCAGGGCTTGGTGCCTGTTGAGGCAGGTCGGTGCTCGGCGCACCATCCTCACTCCCCAACGGCCCCCACGAGCGACCCGCACCCGCACACCGATTCCGAGAGTCGTTTTCGTCGCTCGGTCTCTCTCGCACCTATTCGGGGCGCCCATGAGTGCGAGAGAGACTGAGCGACGAAAACGACTCTCTGATCAGAGTACCGACTGGACCGCTGCGGCTCCGGCTCTTCCTAGAGATATCCGTTTCACTTGCCCCTTCGGGAGGCGGGGCCGTGCACCGCTTCTCCAGAGGGAGACGGTCTAGCCATTACCAAGCCTCTCCTCTGCGGAGAAACTCCTCTTCTCCAACCCGGTTCCCAGGTTGGAACCCTGATTCCGATAGTCATCTGTCTCTCTCGCACTCATGGGCACTCCGCATGAGATGCCCATGAGTGCGAGAGAGACAGAGACGAAAACGACTCTCGGAATAGAACCTTTCAGTCGTCGCCGAGTGAAGAACTAACGTAATCAAAAAGCCAGGAACCAGTAGGAACGTTCCTAGTGGTTCCTGAATTTTTGATTACTTTTGTTCTTCACTCGGCGACGACTGAAAGGGTCTATCAGCCTGCAAGCGCCAAGGTAGCCCATGGCACTACAGACGCGTTGAAGGGGTTGCCTACCCGCACGGCGTTCTGTCACTGTCACTGGACGTGACGTGAACTGTGAGTACAACCACACTGTCTCTACTTTCTCCCTTTTCCCCACTCTCCGATACTCTTTAGACTTTTCCGTATTTTATCAATCTTACACTGAGGAGGTGGTGGTGGGTGGAACGTGGATTGGTCGACATGACACGTTACGTGTTGTGTTTTTGTTTGGTATTGTTGTTGTTGGTTCTAGCAGAGGAGAGGCTCCTCGGAGCTGTCAATGGCTTGTTTGACAACTTGCAATCGCACTGATCAGAACTTTGTTGTTCTGTGTGGACTACAGAAAAAGGTAAAGTTTTGTTGTGGTTTTGGTTTTAGGCCATTTCTAGTATGTCCCAGAAATATTGTCTGAGTTTAGTATGAGTTTCTTGTAAGCGATGTTAGGTTAAGGAGTTTATGATTTTCATATTCTCACTACTTTCCAAGATCCACACACTACGTGGGGCTGTCTTTTTGATCCCCAGTAGCAAACAAACACAGTGAAAACTGTTTGTAAATGCCTGTTTGAAGGATATTTCTTTTTACACAAAAACCTTTTGTTTACATGTGCTACTTTGCTCAATGATGTCAACATTACATGCCCTTTATTTTGGTCATTGGTCTCAGATCAAACGAAAGAGGCACTCGAAACCTAAACAAGACAAGTGACACTGCCAGTCTAGCCCGATGACACAAGGGTGTTAATTGTGTGTCGTGTAGTAGCACAGACCCTGTCAACTCATTATCTCATCACAGCGCCGAGTGTGACATAGTCAGTGTGATTCTGCCTGAGCTCTAGATCGGAAGCAGCCCCTCCACTTATTTTCGAATTTGCTGTTTCATTCCTTATCTGTGAATTTTAGTAGGGACCAATAAGTTTTATTGACGTGAAAATGGCAAAAGCCCTTTCTAATCTTAACAAAAGACGAAAGTCGTTGTCGTTTCTTGCCAAGCCAAAAATGTTACACTTTGGTACAGTTGTTCTCTACATCAAATTTATTTTCAATTTGGCATATTTTAAGTGTCCAATTCTTACTGTTCTACTTTTCCAGGGAGGCACGATTTCCTTCAGCGAGATAGCAGCAAGAAGTCGAAAGTAAAACCACAGAAACCCCCAAAAATGGGCAAGACTTCTAGAGTTGTTGTGTGTGGAATGGCTGGAGTTGGGAAAACTGCTGTTCTTGAACAACTGATTTATGGAAACATCACACCATCAACTGTAAGTATCATTCCTAATATTTTAAAGAAAAATTGAAAAATGTGTAAACCATTTTACATGAAATTTGTACGTTTCAGGAGCTGTACCCAACTATAGAAGATATATATGTAGCAAGTGTTGAAACTGAGCGAGGTACAAGAGAGAAAATGCGACTTTATGACACAGCGGGACTCCCTCCTTTGTCAGGACCAAATGCTGGCGGTTCCACACAACAACAGCAGCAGCAGCAGCAACTTGCAAAGCAGTTGTTGGGACTTACTGAAGGTTATGTGCTTGTGTATGACCCTGCTAGACCTGAATCTTTTGAGTGTTTGCTTCCTCTGAAAAGAGACATTGACAAGAACCGGGACAAGAAGGAGGTAGGTCAACATATATGACCCTAGTTGTATACTGTTAAACATTTCAAAATTGGAAAAATTATACATTTTTTCTTTTTGACATTGCCTGCAGGTTGCTGTAGTTGTTCTGGCTAACCGAATGAGAACAACTGCCAATACATCTGGCTCAGGTAATAGCGCCCCTGCTCCAGCTAACCTGACAGCTTCGGCCACCCTTCAAAAAGCTAACAATTGGACATTAAGAGAGCACATGAAACATTTTGAAGTTAATGCCATGGAAAGGGCTTCTCTCTTGGAGCCGTTCGTTTACTTAGCCACTAAGCTAAGTCCACCACCCAACAAGAGCACTTTCCCACAGCTGAGTATGGTCAGAAAATCAATTTCAAATCGACCAGATGCTGCCTCATAGTGGTATGAAGGTTCCTCCCCTTTTTCAGCATTCCGTTACTTCCAGTTGCAAAGGCTAATGAGTTGATAGTGGTTAAACTTCATTATATTTCTCTATTCATTTTGATAGGTGTTTTAACTTTAATTTACATACTGTTGGCATGTATTTTTCTCATTGATAATCATACTTTCAGGAGGTTGGACTGTGATATTTTAATTTGTTGACAAAGTAGTATTTTATTTTTTAAATTTATGATTTATTCATTATATGAATTAACAATTAGGAAATAAAAATGTTTGTACCAAGTTCGTGTGATGTGTTGACTTCCTCTGTGAAGTGGAATCGTACATGCAGTGATCACTTTGGCCGTCCTCTAAAACTGCCTCCCTTCTTGCCCCTCTTATTGGCTGCTGCTTTGTTATCTTCAGACTGAGCAAACATTGTGAAGATTAGATACTTGCAAGATGAATTGAAAAATTGTAAATTGCTATGAAGTGCATACCTTTCGTTTTTGACCAGCATTAGGGCTCTGTAATACTTTGAAGAAGCTATCAAGACGGCCTTGCGTGGTTCCAGAACGAGCCTTCGCTAATTTCTTTGATCCATTTCTTACTCTCTCCTCATTAAAATTCTTATCACCACACAAATACTTCACCAAACCCTCTTCATCAGGGTCAGTCCATTTAAGCTGAAAATAATAGTAAATTCAGAAAATTTCAAAGTGAAAGAAGGTGATTGGTACCCTTTTAAATAAGTACTTTACCTCCACAGTTTCTGGGTCAGCAACTTCTGGCTCAATGAAAAGTCTCCTTGCTTCCTTGTAAGGCCAATCCTCTGGGACAGAATACTTGGCTTTGTCCAAATTTTCAAGGATTTTCTCAATACTCCGGTGTTGTTTTATGAGGTCCATGGCTCGTTTGGGACCAATGCCACGAATGCTGTCACAATAATCACAACCCAATAAAATGCACAAATCTATAAATTCATCCCGAGAAAGCTCTAGATCTTCCAAAACTCTGTTGAAGTGGAATTCTTGAATTGGCATTTTTCTTGCTTCACTGAATGTCAAGTGCCTTAGTAGTATAGTGGAGCCAAATGTGAGAGCATCCATGTCCTCTGTTGCAGTGGCATACACTTTGCCTGCTTTGACCATTGCGGCACACTGAGCCTCCGCTTCACACGGGGCCTAAATTTTCAAAATAAAAGCTCACCAAGTTATTTTTTAAAAAAATTTAAAACATTGAGTCACAAACAAGATATACTTACATCAATGTAAGGGATGCCCATTAACTTCAAAAGTTCCTTGCACTGCTCTCCATGATGTTTGGTAACTTTCACAAGCCTTCTGTTAAATTTATCGATGTTTTCAGTGTCACCTAAAGACAAGGGCACACATAAGGGATAAAGAACAGGAAAAAATACTTCACTAATAAAATAATTTACTCCTTTTTTTACCTGCTGCCTCAGCCTGTTGTAGTTGTTTCTGAGCTTCTTCTCGCCTTTCTGCTCGCTTGCCAAGCTCTCCAGACTTCATTTCTGGAGGTTTCCCGTCAAACACATACACTGGTTTGATTCCATTTTCCACAAGACGAATCGTTCGATAGAAGGTTCCCATCAAGTGACTGGAAAGAAATTGAAACAGAGGATTGGAGACCTAGCTACACACAACTTCATGAAAATAAGTCACCAAACAAACCTCGTTGTCTCTCCAGAAGAATCAGTGAGTTGAGCACCCTCACTTCTGACAGCGATCAAAAATTGATACAAGCTCATAGAGGCATCAATAGCAACCTTACGACCTGAGGAAAAAATAAGAATAGAAAACCAAATGAGACAAATGTGCCCCTGCTTAAGTGGAAAATTTGTTAAATGGCTGCCTCCAGGATCTGGAACCAAGGGGTGTTTAACCTGCTCCAAAACAGTGTTGTAATTTGAGCTTACCAAAATAGTTTTTGATCTCATTTTCCTTGACAGCTGTAGGAGCAATGTCGGCGATTAGTTTCGAAAGTCCTAAAATTCCCATGGTGAGGATGAGACAATTAAAAACGATGCTAAAATAACGACAACGAGCAGACGTCGCGGCACACGGCTGTCTCTGTCTCGACCGCTTGGGTTTTGGCGCGAAACCGACCACGACCACACAAAAACAAAGGTGCGTTCTGCTGGCTTTGTCATACCCACACGCTGTGCGAGGGCGCTCTCTGCCGCCCGGCCGCGCAACTACATCGTCACGGGGTATCGCCGCCGGCTTGAGGCGCGGGGTATCGCCACCTCGTGCGCTTATGAAAAATTGTCCATGCGTGGCATGCGGCTCGCGGGTCGACGCGGTCATCGCTAAGAAGAAGCCCCCGGCCCCGGCGGAGCAGAGCAAGTCGAGCAGGCAGCGGGAGCGCGGGCCGGGCGAGCCCCTCGGGCCTGATTGCGTGGGAGACGCGGGTCGCCATGGCAACCGTCACGCTCGACCAATCACAGCTCTTGCAGTGCAGCCGCGGAGCGAGGCAGGCACGGCGGGCAAGGGGAGCACGGCGAGGCGGAGGCAGGCGGAGGCTGACCCCGCCGCAAAGCCTGTAAAGATGGCGGGTACTTCCCCGCGCACATGCGCGCCAGCGACGCCGCGCCGACGCTCACTGGGCCAGAAGACCGGTGGAGGCGGCAAAAATTCTAGACGCGTTTTGAGCTCCAGAATCGCTAAATGGGACTCAAACCGACGAACGTGTGACCCCAGCAATGGATTCCTCGTTCGGAGAGCAATCCTTTGGTCGGGTCACACGTTCGGTTCGAGGCCCGTGTAGCGGCTCTGGAGCTCAAAGCGCGTCCAGGATTTTGGCCGCCTCCACCGGTCTTCTGGCCACTGTGCGACGCACGCCGTGGAGGCCCTCCCCGGCCCTCCCTCATGTCGCATGAACCACGACCAGTCCACGCCCAGTAGTCTCATTCCGAGGAGCACCGCGTCGCGCTGCCTCTCTCGCACTCCAGGGCCTCCAAGCACTCCAAGCAGGGTGCGAGAGAGGCGGAATGCTGTGCGGAATCAGCGCGCTGGACTTTTGCTTCTCGCTCGAGACATGCTAACTTCCTCGGCAGTCTCCGTGTCCTCTACACTGACGGATGCCGGGAGCCGTTCTCGTCGCGCTGTCTCTCTCGCGCCTGTGCGGCCTCTGCGGGGCGCCCCGTGAGTGAGACAGAGACAGAGCACCGGCCGGACCGGCCAATTAACGTGCAGCTCCAGGCCGGGACAGCCGAGACACGGCTACTCCATTACAGCCTGTTCGTGGAAACGCGCGTCTCCATGGTAACCAGACGGACATCGCGACTTGCACTGGAAGGGAACGGGTGCAGAAGACCGATTCCGAGAGTCGTTTTCGCCGCGCTGTCTCTCTCGCTCTCATGGAGCGTGCCGTAGGAGTGCGAGGGAGACAGAGCGACGAAGCGACTCTTTCGGAAGCGGTCGGCTGATGCGCCCGGCGGATAGGCAGCCCGGACCACAGTGGGCCAGAAGACCGGCGGAGGCGGCCAAAACTCCAGACGCGTTTTGAGCCCCAGAGTCGCTAAACAGGACTGGAAACGAACGTATGAACCCCACCAATGGATTCCTCGTTCGGAGAGCAATCCATTGGTGGGGTCACACGTTCAGTTCGAGTCCCAGATAGCGACTATGGAGCTCAAAACGCGCCCGGGTCTTTTGCCGCCTCCACCGGTCTTCTGGCCCACTGTGCGCACGCATCGCTGCGGCGGAACTTGAACTTGAACTTGGGAGCTAGGTTCAAGGTTCAAAGTTAAAATTTAAAGGTTGGACTTGCTGGACCCCAACGATTCTATGCCGTTTTGGGTCCGGCACTGTCATTTAATTAGCAGTGCAGGGTCCGAGTTCCGGCGACGCGCTGCAGCAGGCTGCAGGTCCGCGGACCGCGCGCGGTTCGAACGTCTCCCGCCATTTCTGCGGCAGCTTTTCATTGTGAATGCGGCGGAAGTGTTTGATAGCATCATTAGCTCAGCTCCGCGCAGAGTCCCGCAGGGCTGCCGCCTTGGCTGCCGCGCTGCCGCGCCGTCTGCACGTCTGGATCCGTTGGGACTCGGCGGCGGGACAGGTGCACACAGTGTAGTGGCGGGAAAGTGACGCGGAGGGGAAGGGGGAGGCGTACCTTTAAAGTCCCATACGGCTCGAGGGGTGCCGGTACCTCCACTGGTACTTATCGCTGCCATCAGCTGATGGAAGGGGATGGTATATGGCGCGCCGTGCCGCGGGTGTCACCCCAGGCCGCTCTGTCTCTCTCGCACGCCCAACGGGACGCCGCATGAGTGCGAGAGAGACAGAGACCTCTCCCGCGCGGAGTGAGCCTGCCGGCCGCGTCCCGACCGGCCGGTCATCTGGACGCTGCTGGTGTGGGTGCTCGCGGTGCCGCGGTCCAACAATTACGTGAAACCACTTTGGCCGTTTTCAACCCCCATCGTTCCTTTCCCACGTCCAACGCAACCTGCTACAGTGTGCTCACACGAGACGGACGCCACGTTGCTGTGTTGTCCATCCTCTCCTAAAAGTGCTCCGTGGTTACGCAGATCCAGGAGCCAAGCAAAACGTGCCATACTCCCTGTTGGTCTTGATCCTCTGGGACTTGCAAACGCTTTCTTGTATCGCTCTGCCTCTCCGTCTCTGTCGCACTCATGCGACGCACAGTGGGCCAGAAGAACGGCCAAAATTCTAGACGCGAGTCGCTAAATGGGACTCGAGCCGAACGTGTGACCCCACCAATGGATTGCTCTCCGAGCGAGGAATCCATCGGTGGGGGTCACACGCTCTGTTCAAGTCTCTGGAGCGCAAACCGCGGTTAGAGTTTTGGATGGAGCTGCAGGCTGCAGGCTCCGAGCGCTGCTTTCGACGCTGTCTCTCTCTCTCTCTCTCTCTCTCTCTCTCTCTCTCTCTCTGTCTCTCTCTCTCCCCCTTACGGGACGCCCCATGAGTGCGAGAGAGACAGAGCGACGAAGCGCTGCACGGCGTGGAGCTGCAGTGGGACTTGACTGCGGCCGCGGGGTTGGCCGTGTTCGAGTCAAGTTGTTCCGCGCGGCTGCGTTTCCTTTCCAGCTCGTCGTGTGTTCTGTTCCCCGGTCGGCCTGGAGGCCTGGAGGCCTGGGGGCCTGGACCGCCTGACCGGGCACGGGCACACTGGGCACACCGCGCGGCCACCGGTCGGACTCAAGGTATTCCGCCTCCTGGGCGCAGGGTTGCAGACTGATTCCGAGAGTCGCTTTCGTCGCTCTGTCTCGCTCCCGCACTCATGGGGCGTCCCTTACAGATGCGAGAGAGACAGAGCGACGAAAACGACTCTCAGTCTGCGGCCGTGGGGGTAAAGCCAGCCGACCACGAACATGTCCAGGAAAAAGTACCGCGGCGATCGGGACAGTGGACAGCACTGCACCGAGAAAACTGCCATGCAGTCTGGCAAAAAGTTGAACTTCACCCGCCGCAAGAATGGCAATTTCAAGGAGCCAGATTCAAAAGGACTTTCAGGCTGAAAAAATAATTAAAAATAAGTGCGAGCTTTATCTTGATCGGTTTAATACTTAGCTTCTAATTGCTTGGCAGAATAAGCCAGTCCTGCCGCTCGCCGCCTCCTGCAGGGCACCGTGCCCCCCCCCCCCCGGCGAGTCCTCTTCCGCTCGAAACAAGATGACCATTCCCCTTCTCTCCTCTGGGAACACACTCATCTCCACTCCATCTCCCCTGCGCGGCCTGCGCGGCCTGCGCCGCTCGCCATGATGGAGTCCCTGAGCCATGACGAGACTGGTCGAGGCTCGGGTCGAGGAGCCACCAGACGGCCCGCCCCGCGCTGCCCAGCCTGGCCGGCCAGCCCGCCTGCAGACTCATTCCGAGAGACGCCCTCGTCGCTCTGTCTCCCTCGCACTCGCGGCGCGTCCCGTACGGGTGCGAGAGAGACAGAGCGACGAACACGACTCTCGGAATGAGTCTGCTGCCATGGCAGTGCCCTGGCAGTGCCCCTGCCTGCTTCAACTTGTGCCATGACCTTCCATCCTGCAGCAGACGCCACGCCCTTTTCCTGGAAATCCCATAATTCCCTCTCCTCGGCCCTTTTTCGTCGTTTTGCTCGTCGCTGCTTTCGGCCCTGTGTTATGAGGCGTTGCGTCGAGAAGAAGGGCGAAGACGCATTGGAAGGCCCTCGGCAGGCATGCTTTTGCAGGCTTCGGAGACAGTGCTACAGAGCTGGTTGGCCAGCAGACTTCCATGGACACTACACTGTGCGCTGTTCCGAGAGTAGTTTTCGTCGCATTGTCTCTCTCGCACCCATGAGGCCGAGAGAGAATTAAGAGCGACGAAATGGTCTCTCGGCATCAGTCTGCTGCTGCAAAGCCTGCGCCCGATCACTTTCCTCAGCCACGCTTCCAACCTGAACTCGAAAACACCTGAGAATATCGCCATCTCGTTTCCTCATCAGCAATCATGCTCCAGGACTCCAGGACTCCAGGGGCCTACACCGTATACTCCGCGAGCCGGCTAGCCAGCTCCAGGTAAATGCACTGCACGGCCAGGCCCGCGGCCAGGCCACTGGACCTGCGTGCCCCGGCGCGTTCCCAAGGAGCCAGCGGGCCGATGCCGAAGCGTTGCTCTGTCTTTGTCGCACTCATGGGTCGTGCCGTAGGGCCCGTCTAGGCCCGTCGGGGTGCGAGAGAGACAGAGCGACGACGCGTCACTCCGAAGTCGTTACGCAGCCTCTGCCCCGCCCGCGCCTCCTGCAGGCCTGCAGGAAGTCCCCAGCGGGCTGCTTTCCGGACGGCGGCGCTTCGGTCTCTCTCGCACCCCTACGGCCAACAGTGGGCCAGAAGACCGGTGGAGGCGGTCAGAACCATTCAGAACTCCGGACGCGTTTAGAGGACCAGAGTCGCTAAACGGGACTCGAACCGAACGTGTGACCCCACCAATGGATTCCTCGTTCGGAGAGCAATCCATTGGTGGGGTCACACGTTCGATTCGGCCCCAGTTAGTGACTCTGGAGCTCAAAACACGCCCAGAATTTTGGCCGCCTCCGCCGGTCTTCTGGCCCTACTACTGGGACGCCCCGCGAGTGCAAGAGAGACAGCCATGGCCGCTGCAGCCAGCGCGGTCCGGAAGCAGCCTGCCGCGGGTG